CGTGTGCGTAAGGGTCTTTAGCAGTGTGAGGAAGCCGGTGAACACCCCGGCGAACATACGCCTTGTTACATAGAAGCCGTGAATCGAAACCACACCATTTGACTCAATGAGTAACCTTCTAAACTTATCGCCCCAACAGAACCACTGAGCTGCATGTGCGACACGCAATAGCGCCATACACGTGTCAAATTTGACACTTCAAGGAAGGGTTGATGAAAACTGCCGCTTGCTGGTTTATCCTATCCATGTTTGCTTTCTTATCGGTTCTTGCATAAGATTCACTGTTCAGCGTATCTTTGCTTTAGTGTGTTACGTTTAATTTGATCGGGAGACGTGTTCGTCGACGTCAACGTCAACTGACAACACTGCAAGAATTGGCAGTCGCACTGCAAGAGGAGTGGGTCAGATTGCCCCAAATCGTGATTGGACGATTGATTAGGAGCATGCCACGACGAATTGCTGAATGTCTGAGGATTGGTGGGGCAAATACTCATTATTAAGACAAAAATCAAAAACGTCCACTTTTACTTTTGACAGTGTATCTTTGCGAGTGAAATGGGACCGTCAGATAAGCCGCCCATATGAACTGTTTTTGTTCATGTGTAGGCAATTGGCCTGTTATTAACATACACTGGTTACCTCTAATAAAAACAGCAGTGTATTTCCGTAGTTTTGTATTGTTTCTGAACACCCCCTACTTTTGAAGAGTATATATAAAATTATTTTGATAATATATGAAACTATTTTGATAAAAGGATAGAATAATCGCATTGATAAATTAATTTAAATTTACATGATTTTCATCTATCTTAGATAAATACACGAATAATTCTTCTTCTTTTTCTCATACAGGCCACCGTATTTGTCAAGAAGGTTCACATCACAATAACACATATTAACTTTTGAGATATATGTGCACGATCCAGCTAATCGTGCCTTAGGTTGATATATTTCATGATAACTAATCATAGTAATGTGAATTATATTATGATTAATGACATACATCGTGAGTTATATTCTTAATAATTAGTTACTAAGTAAGAATTAAGTAAGAATTAACAGTTGGTCAAATTCGCTGTATTTTGGGGGTTTTTTAAGAACATCTTTGGTACGTGTCTGTAATCTCGTGTAGTCGTTAGCATTTGAAATCGTAAGTCTGTATAGCTTTAAAAAATAAAACACTGTTTCATATACCCACAAACACATATATAATCAATTTTAAGAATATATCTTCTGCAAAATTAAAAATTAAATTCTAAACTCACTTTCTAATAACGGGAGTAATATAAATCCTGATTAATATATACCACTGATAAAAGACTTTCTCGAAATTTGTTATCATGCTATCTCTAACGTCTAATTCATACACAAACAGACCAGTTAAATGTTTTTTGTGTAGCTAAGCGAATAGGGATGCACAGCTATCCAGGTATGTAAACATAAAAAAAACAACATACAAATGAAGCTAGAAAATGTCAAACTTTAATCAGGGGTTTCAAGGAAATTGTGTATCTTGGGTTCATATCTATTTTTACTTTTGATTCCTATTACTGATATGTTGGGGATTTACTTGGAAACCTATCTGTCTTTTCCGTATCTATGTTAAATGTTTGACCCCATGCATAGAAGTTGGGGTTGTCGTTTAAAGGGAGGCAGGGACAGAAATAGGGTTTAACGTTCACTCGACACAAACTAGGTCATTTCGAGACTAACGTATGGTTGAATTTATTTCAATAATCCGCTTGCGAGTAGGGGTTGGACATCGACCCTGCTCCTTGTCACGTACGAGCAACAAACTGAACCCACGCCACTTGACTCAATGACAGACATTACGATCTAAAGCGCATGCGTTAAACCACTCGACCTTTAAAAACAATTATAGTATGTATAGAAAATTCAATTGTTAATAAACATTTCATTCCTTGATTGGATACATGTTCTTTGATAGTTTCCATGTACTTTAAGGAACAATAGCATTTTCCATTATTGAAATTCTAGACAAATAAATAAAAGCTTAGAGTAGCTGGTGCCGTGTACTAGTCCGTAAGAGAGAGAGAGAGAGAGAGAGAGAGAGAGAGAGAGACAGCCAGAGAGAGAGAGGGGAGGGGGTTTAACGTCCACTCGACAAAAACTAGGTAAATTCGGGAATCGAAAACACACCAGTTGATATAGTAGCCATTCTACTGCACACTGAGAAATGTCTACTTTGAGAACAGATCTGAATGTGTGCCATATTAAATAAAATATCATATTAATACTACCGGTATTCTTTTATGTGATTACAATCCGTTTTACATCTTTCATACACACTAATAAATGCATACCATCAGTTGAATTAAAGACACATTAGGTAAGATTAGATAAAGAGTTCGCGCTATAATAGTTAAAAAATAGACAATAAAAACAAAATATACGGAAAGTTTCAGTCAAACTGCTTCACTCTGAACCGAGATATTAGCTATTCAATATTAGGCTAGCCTCGATCATCATTACTAACGTTGGTACGATATACTAAACAATATCTCGATTATCAAGTTTTACATTAAATTATCCATCACAAAATGTATTCAAATCCACTAAATATCGCAGTTGATTATGGTCTGGATAAGTTAATTAATGTCTAATTAATAATTTAGATAACATTCCAGGCCTAAAGAAAGACCTACAATAGGCAGATTTAACTCTTGCATAATGCATGTTTAAATGGAAGAAAAATAAATACTACTCCATATTGTTTTTAAACTAAAATCGTCGATGCGGGAATTAAATAGGTCAACTAGCGTCGTGTCTGTTGCCAAGCACAGCCAGCTGGCTAGAAGTTTTAGCGCGTGACCTGCACGAGGCAATATATTTTTGCTCTTTCTAGAACACCTAATATCACTTCTAATGTGTTTATACTTGGGATTGAATAACAGGTAACAAGTCCCAAGGTTTGTCCTCTAATATAGAGCTTAGTAAAAAAGTGATATTAAAGTTTCCGTCTTCTGGTAACTTTAATTAATGTACAGCATAAATGATGTTTAATTGCAATATGGCCCCCATATAAGACACTGTTAAATGATGAATTGAAATCCCGAATATTGAAGCCTTTAATCCCAAGTTGATTAATTAAAAAACGACAAAATGATATTACGTAATAAATTATTTAGATTTTGCTAAGTGTGACATGTTTGTTAACCTGGCTTTCAGATTAATATAAAAAGTAAAATAAACTCTAACACTTCCACACCCAGCATTGGCGTACGAACAAGGGAGCGCGGGAGAGAGGGGGTAGCTGCCCTCTAACGTTCGGACAATCTGACTTTCGGGCAGACGGGTAAAAATTATTATTTCATCCATCTAGCTGGCAATATAAAGTGTCCGAAATCAGATAAAACACTAATTTTACTTTTCTTTTAATTGAATACCACGAATTTGTACTGAATTAACTATAGATTAAAATATTTTGTCTGGAGCCACTCTACTTTGTGCGACATTTTTCGGGCATCGATTATCATTTGTGAATGCAGCTGTAACAGACTGAATAGATGGTTGGAATTCAGGGCGGAATAGAGTGGGATTTCGGTTGCAACCCGATTGGAAACTTTGAAGCTGCTTAATTCAAGGGCTAGAATAGAAAAAAAACGCGAGACACCCATACCCCGCGACGATTGATTGGTTGTTTGGGATTTGGGATTCAGGTTTATTCTCGGGCTAGAATAGAAGGAAAACGCGTTTGTGGCCGTCAAATTTTCCAAATTAATCTTGGGGGGGGGGGGACTACACCCTTCGCCTCTTCCAGACGACCGGCTCCGCCGTCTGTTACCAGAAATTCTTTTAGGCATTTTATTTTCTACACTCCCACCCCTCCTAACATTCATAGAGCCCGCACGCCTCGTAAAGTACTTGTTCTGACCTCGCCCAATATAAATGTATTCTCTGTAATCTCCAGTCGGAGCGATACAGTAGAACTTTAAACTCCATTTCATTCTCTGTAATCTTATCTATAATGATTACATGAAGAGGATTCGATATTTTCTCAAATTTGGGGAATGCAATGTCACGACATCCAATATTATCACTTGAACATTCGTTATCTGTTTTCTGTGAAACTGTTTTAATACGTCATAATAAATTGGTGTGATCTGTGAAACTGTTTTAATACGTCATAATAAATTGGTGTGATTGTTTACACTGGCCATTGGAACGGCCATAGTATTAATAAACATTATGATATTGTACATAGTGATACAATAAAAGGCGATCTCTAGTATATTGTACGTTATACGCGTACTACAGTTTTTAAACATATACGTTTATAGACATATGGAGGGGTGGGTGACCGAAACGTTTAACGCATGTGCGTTAGATCATAAGGTCTGTCATTGAGTCAAATAGCATGGTACACGGGACCTCGGTTTTTCGTCACATCCGAACGACTAGACAGCTGCCCTTGTCAGGCCCTCCGTCCTGCATCACTGGCAAGGGGGAAACCACGCCGGAAAATCTGGATGAACTTTCTCGGCCAATGCAGCGATCGAACACCCGACCTCCAGGCTAGCGAGCCAGCGTCTTACCCACTTAGCCACGTGATCCCACCAAACCTTCGGACAGGACACGATATACACAACAGACGCACATATCAGATCAAGTGAATGGATCTGGGAGCTAGCCGTACTCGTTCACTGCGCTCTACAGTCCCATGTTTCGCCCAAAGTGAAAAACAGACTATAAATAAGGGAAGTACCCCAAGAAAGAGTGTTGTATGATTATAACTGATAACCTTTATTTGTATATCTAGGTATTCCTGCTCCTATATATGTACAGCAGCATAATGATTACGTAGTCTTACCATATTTAGTATTATAATATATTCGTGACACTAAGTTATTCGTATAAGTCATTAATTTTAATACAAAATAATTAATGTTACTCCATAAACTTGCCTATATTATACACCCCCCCCCCCTCAATCCCCACCCACCCAAAAATGATATAAACATATGAAATATAAAACTCCCCCCACCTCCACATTACCAAGCAGCCCTGACGTTTTAAAACATTATTTATAATGACAATCTCATTTCATATCTCCGTTTTCAAATAACTTGTCAAGTTATCTTGGCCATAAACATTTATCTTCGGGCGGCGAATCACGAACTAAAAGATAAAAAAATTGAAATAACAGTATTAATTTGAGGCTATGATATTAAAGATGCATTATGTAAGATTTAGATAAGTAAATGGCCATTCTTGCTATTATAGTTCAATATATATAATGGAAAATGAATATATTAAAAATTTCATCTAAATTACTTTATTCTGACCGAAGTTAAAAGTGCTGGGAGATGTAGTCATGATTGTTAATTATCGTTACAACTGTACTGGGAAAACGAGACTAAGACAGAAGGTAATTTGAAGGTATAGTATTAACAGTGGGTAATACAATTCTCATCACTGCTCCCCACCCCCGCCCCAAACTCGCTGTCATATCTACCCTCCCTCCCACTGCTTTTCGTAACAGCACCTCCAAAACGGGTCATCATAATTACAACATCCAACCCCCTGTCATAACTACACCTTCCAAACTCGCTATCATATCTGCAACCCACAACCCCATTTCATAACTACACCAAACCGCGCGTCTCAACCCACAACACCTCCCTAGCATACAACACCTTCCTGATGTACCTAAACGATTCTACCTCACTGACCCATATCTATTATTTATACCGGCTGGTCCATGATTCAGGATATAGGGCCTGGCAAGGGACTACGTATAGTCGTTAGGATTGACCGGAAAACCGCGGTCCCGTGTAAAAATTGGTGTGCACGTAAAATAACTCTTGACAGGTGGAATTCGAAATAAAAGTAGGTTGTAGTATCGCTGTCCGGGACACATTGTTTTAGCACTCTCTATGGTGTATGCCCTTCTTCATGAACCCAGATGGAGCAGAAGAGTAAGCCGTTAATCCCAATTTCATTTTCTCCCTGAAATGTGGTGTATGGAATTTTCAATTTATGATCCAAAAATAAGACGATCAGACACAAATATATCTCTAATGTCACATAAATGGCTACTTTACCGTGGTTTCCGTGTCGATGTGTTCATAAAACGAGCCGCCAGATGGACTAATATTACCAAGTTGATGTATTTGATTCTGAAATAAAAATAAAAAATAAAAAAACAAAAAAACAGATTTCATCATACATATTATTAACAATAATGGTGCTTTTCAATTATTGGATACAATTTTTTCGATTGCATATTACGGTAATAAATCTGATTTCTCCCTTGAGGCATAGAATTTGTGGTGGCTAGAAACAACCATTTTCGAATAACAAAGGCGAAGGTATGACAAAATGCGTGATTTCACAAAAGTTGAAATATGACTTCTTTCCTTTTTAAACTCGCGCAGACTAAATTTTTGTTTCAAATTTTCCGCATAGTTGTTCGGATTGGACGAAAAGTCTAGATTCCGTGTACAAATGAGTAGAACACAATGTAATGGCAGAGACGTAAAGAAACTGGATTCACGCCGACGGAGCTGACTTGTTAAGTTATGTTCAGGCGTTCGAATGCGACAAATCACCGTGGCCCGGTATAGTTAGTGAACACTTCTTTCAATTTGTACGAAATGGTACCTGCAGGGTTGACAAAGATATTGTCATAGGCGTACGAACCAGGAGGCAGCTGCCCCCTAACTTTCGGGCAACCTGACTTTTCGGGCAGACGGGTAAGATGAAAACAAAAATTATTACTTCGTCTAGCCGGCAAAAATAAAAAGCCAAAATCTAATAAAACACTAATTTTACTTTTCTTGTAATTGAACACCACGAATTTGTACTGAATTGACTATGGATTAAAATATTTTGTCTGGAGCCAATGTGTGTGACATTTTTCGGGCATCGATTATTATTTGTGAATGCAGCGGCAACAGTCTGATTGGAAGGTCCCATTTTCGTGGACTGTAAACAACTGATGATTGGAATTCGAATCAGCCACATCACATTGAAGTTGCTGTATTCATGGGCTGGAATAGCTGGAAAAACGCGTTTCCGACCATCAAATTTTCCAAATTTACTTTGCAGGGTGCGCGTGTGTGCGTGTATGTATGTGGGGGGGGAGGGGGGTACACGCTACGCTCCACTCCGTCGCCTCCCGCAGACATATGGCACCGCCTGTTCTGCCCCCCATGCCCAAACTTTCAATGAGCCCGTACACCTGTGCATACGGGATCATTTTATGTATGAATTTATCTGATATTTCTAGATTTATCTTGGTAAGAGGACACCGGTGGAACACCCTTCATAAAAGGCTTCTGGTTATTCAACAATTTAAAAGTCACGGCATGATCCAAATGTATAAATAATGAATTAAATCAACCATATATTTATCGTTCATGTTATAATGATGTTTTACATACATCTTTATATATTATATATTTTTATTTGCATACTTATTCAACAAGGAAGTTATTGAAATATCTATTTTAGTTTTATACACATGACGGAGTCAATGAGCATAAAATGATCATTCCTTTTATTCGTGCAAACCAGTGAGGTGTAACGATAGAAATAAAAGAGAGAAGATATTAATACAACCGTCTTAAATCTTGTTTCCTAGTTTCCCACTATCACGATTCGCCGTCAGATTTTCTAAATTGTCTTGGGGTGGTGGTGGTGTCGGGGGGGGGGGGGGTCCTACTCCTCCTACACGGTAAGCCCCGGCATCGTCGTCTGTAACCCGAAATATTTTCGGGCATTTCAGGTTCTACCCCCCTCCGCCAAACATCGATTCCATACGCCTATGGATATTTTGAATAGTCGTTAATAGGACTAATAAATAGTGCACGTAACATATATCCCTTGGCGGTAGTTGTAGTACAATGGATCCATAGATGGCACATGTGGATATTTTGATATTAAAATGGCTTCCATGGTTACAGGATTGAATCAGTGATGATTTGTAAATGATATATATTTTTTAATCCAAATTAAAACTAGGACTATTCAAAACAACCGAGACTCTTTCCAGTTCTCGTCAAATATAGCTATACAGAAATTCCGTAAAGTACCCTACCCCATCGGAAACAGAATGTAAATGGTCGTTTCGAAAATTATTATTTTGATGGAATCTTATCTAAGTTAATAGGTCAAGTTCTTGTCATGGTTTTTACCTTATTTGCATCTGTATCAGATCTCATACGTCCATCAGTAGTTGATTCGTTAATGTTTTCTTCATCCAGTGCCGGGTTGTACGATGAAATGCTCTCAAAACTCAAATTGTTTTGATCGGATTTCCTGTAATGATTCAATAGAAGAATACAGGATGTTATTAAAGTATGCTGTTCTGTTCCGTCGTTAACAGAGTGTGCTGTCCTATTCTGTATTTAACCTTCTCTTGCTTAGTTAAGACAGTAACGTCTCCACGTTAAGCAAATCTTGCGATCATTTTCGAAGGGCCCAACAATTTGACTTGAAATTTTCAGACAGGATAAATCGGTTATGTTGTGTCGTTTGTTTTTGATCGATAAAACAACATTTATCTTATCTCTTTAACAAAGTGTGATGTCTTACACCGTTGTTAACAAGGAGCACCGTTATTAACACATGCGCTGTTCTACTCCGTGTTAATATACTTCTACTGGCCTAGTCCGTGTTAAAGGACAATATTGGTGTCAGTCATTATCACATATGTGATAGAACTTGTTAAACACGTCCCCAAAATTTTTTAACACAGAGATGGTTGCTACGATAGATGCGTAATGAAGGTTTCAGCAATTGGAAGTGACGAACGCACGAGTTATCCCTCTATATAATTGACTGAAGTGAAGAGTGATAACAGACACACGGACGAATCTCTGCTCACTAATAATTCCTTCGAAGACCAAAAGTGTACAGTTTGTTCTAGCCCGTAGTGTATAGTTTTTTCTAGTTCGTGTTAATATAGTGTGCAGTTTGTTCTAATCTGTGTTAATATAGTATACTGTTCTAGTTCGTATTACTATAGTGTACTGTTCTAATCCGTGTTAAGAAAGCTACTGTAGCATTGTGGCATGTTTTTAGAATTAAGTTTGTAAGAACTTCCAAATAAATACGTACTTATCATTTTTTGTCTGTAGACGTGCTCTCCTTTTGATCACAACAACTATGATAATAGTGATGATAATAATAACACCAAATATACTACAACTTATAATAATGATATAATTTGTTGATAATAATAGTTTCTCTATTTCTTCATCACATTTCTCTCCACTGTATATCACATCAGACGTCTCATCACATCTAGAAAAGAAACATGTAGCGCTACTAAGCATAGAACAAACAAATGAAATGGGGTTTAACGCCCTGCTGTTCTGCTCCGGACAGCGGCGATAAGACCTACTCTTACATAGAATTTCAATTGCAAAGAGATCTTTTACGTGCACGCCAATGTGTACACTAGGGACCTCGGTTTTTCGTCACACCCGAAGGAATAGACGGTTGTCCTAGCAGGCCCTTCGTCCTGCACCACTAACAAGGGGAAACCACACCGGAAAATCCGAGGAACCTTCTCGGCCAACACCTGGAGCGAACCTGCGACCTCTAGAACAAGGAGAGGGAATAAAATCCGTGATTTTTAGAATTCCTACAAAGTTTAAATGGCAGAACTAGTAATATATGATCCTGCATATTGGAAAAATTATTCCTCATTACAATTCTAAACAGGTTAATAAAATGATTCCATTTAAGATGCAAGTATACAAACTTTCCACCACTTCAAACAACTAAACAGTTACAATACAGTACAAGGAGAATTGCTGGAGACATCGGTATATAATTACGCCATGATTATATAACTACACAAAATAGATGTCAGTAGGGCTGAATAATGACGTACCCGTGGGGGACAGGCTTAATATAATTCAATTCCGTCAGACTTAATTGCAATTCCGTCAGTGAACAGGGTTTCGGACAGAACATACAGAACCCCTACCATTACTCAATCAATTGCAAATCAAAGCAATCCAAACACGGAAAATAATAATAGTTGCGGGTTTATATATCATATACAGAATTGACTTACCTACACTTGGGTTGTCCTAAATGTAAAACACATGTACCGGATTTACCGCAGTTAAAACCATCACACGAATCTCTACAGTTTAAATCATTGTTAGACGTTCTACTACACGTGCTACCAGTAGGACATGCATCTATACAAGGATCGACAAATCTAGCTGCTTCACCTGTTAATTAAATGACATTATTTAATAGAAAGATTACCAAAGCAATATGTACTCAGTCGTACGCCTTAGGTCTGCCTTGTGCGTAGGGGTCTTTAGCAGTGGGGGGAAACCGGAGGACAAGAGAAAACCAACGAGGTTGGACATATTAGCCTATGACACATCATCTATATGTTATATAAAAAAATAGTAATCAATAACCAAGAGATATTTTAATTGATGCGCGGCCCTGAATTTCGATAACGGTCCAGATTCTAATTATAGCCGTGACTCAGTAAACGTGTCCAAAACATAAATCTCAAAAACAGCGATTGCAAAACGTTAGCAAACTTACATGCAATACCGATAGCAATCGGGGAAGGGCGGTGACTTAAAGGAGAACTTCATTTGTTACTTTATTATATAGAACAATAAATTCTGTTTATTGTCAGTAATGCACAATTCGAAGATAAAATCATTTCGTCAGTTAATAACAAGCCTCGTATAAACAACTATTGTAGTTAATTTACCTACGGTATCCGAACAACCAAAAATAATATATAAAAATCAAACGAATGCAAAGGCCAAGGTTTTCCTTTAATCATAATCAGCATTATTTAGGCACCGAAGCATTCGTCTCCTGACAGCCTTCATAGACTGGCTAACAACTTATCTGCTGTTGGTCGAGTACCTAGAGTAACTCCATTAGGTTGAGAAGGTGTCCATACCCTCGACCTTCACACCACGGATCGAAACAACAGCAACAAGCCAGGGAGGGTGACCGACCAGCTAAAGTTCGGAGTTGTTTATATATGTCCACATTAACTTACCAGAATTTATAAAGTTGTCTATTTGTTGTTTTGTATAGTTCTTATCAACAGGTGCTGGTAGTGTAATAATATTATTAATCCTCTCTACAACAGTTGTGTTGATTTGTTTTATTGTGTTTTCATTGGTTTCAAGTAAATCAAATACAGCTTTATATTCACATATAACATTTCCTTCTCTGTAATAAAAATACAACTTTATAATTACATATAATAAATATACAGCATTATAATCACATATAATACTTTCATCTATGTAATAGAAAATACAGCCTTATACAGACAGTGTCATATATAATACTTCATTCTACCACCGTACTATGGACCAGAAACTGAGTATGGCGTCATCGCAGCCATCTTGAAATTGTGACAGCAAATGAAAAATGAAAGCCCATCAATCTATGCACAATTTTCCAAGAAACATGTATGTCAAGCATGGAATTAGAATACTTCTATTTTAATTTTCCAATGTTCATATTGATTGTACATGAATTGGAGGAGCCATAGACTCTTTTCTAAGGACGTGCCCCCCCCCCCCCAAGCCAAGAGATGCTAAATGTGTAGCAGTTATTTGACATATGGTCTTATTTTTGTAGACAATACTTACTTAAATTCCAGTACTTCGATTTCTTTGAATCCAGCTATGCCTTTAAAAGCGTCGGTAAGCTGTAATTACATTTATTATTATTATTACAGCATATATAGTGTACTCTTTCGTGTTCAGGGGCACTTTACAAAGTGACAATGTAATCATAAATAAACAACAAGATTATGGACATGTTAACGATTGTATACAAAGTCAGTTAAAAACCTGATTAAATAAATGTGTTTTATTTAAACATTTAAAAGTAAGTAATAAAATATTAAAATCAATTTGATATTTAACAGGTAACCAGTGTAAGTTATATAAAACAGGAGTTATGTGGTCGCATTTCTTTTTTCCGCTCACTGCTAAAGACCCCTACGCGCAAGCGAATTATTGAAATAAAAAATTGAACCATGTGTTAGTCCCAAAATGACCTAATTTGTATCGAGTGGACGTTTAACCCCATTTCTCTCTCTCTCAATGCTTTAAATTTATTAGTGTCAAGTGATTAAAAAACTTCGATATGTTACAGTCTTTCTTGTTGGTTGTGGTTTCTGGATCTTAAGATTAAGCCAATAAAAAGAGGATGGACATACAGCAATTTTGACAAAAAGTCTTTCCGTGTTCTCTTAGATATGTCAGTATACATACCCGAACCATGGTATAAACAAAGTTCGAATCTTGCATCTTGGCAAACCATTCTATTTACATCAGACAGATGCTAGAAAATCAATGTTTAGTAAATGTTACTTTTCGGATTTCCTGTATATCCCAATGAAGAATCTCGCCAATTATGGAATTTAATCACAGTGTTTTACTCACAAATATTTCCATTAAGAACCTTACCATTTTGCGGTCAAAATATTTAAAAGTTAAAATTTAGTAATAAGCGTTCGCAATTTTCGACCAATGAATTCAAAATTTCGAAAGGGTACTTTCTTTCCTTACGGCCCAATAGAAATGGCTTCACGTTTTAAAATTGCCTCGTCACGGAAGATATTGAAATGGGCTCCGTCCACCCGACACCCGTCCGTCCGTCCCAATTTCGTTTCCGGAGCATATCTCATAAACCGTTCAAGATATATTTTTGGAACTTTGTACACACATCAACCTACTACAATAGTTGTGCCGTTATATTTGACTTAGTTTATTTGTGTATAATTTTGTTTCCGGGGAATATCTCATAAACCATTTAAGGTACCTTCAAAACACTTTGTTCAGAAATCAACCTAATTTGCTAATTTGGAATTTCTCGAATTTAATAGTTTTTGTGTTTCCGTGGAAACAATTTTAACTTAGATTTTGGTACACAAATTTTATTCCAGAGCATAAACTTTTCAAGATATTTTCATGAAACTTTGTAAAACATTTTTGGTTCATACCACAACACATTTGACTGAGTTTTTGGTATATAATTATTATTCTAGAGCATTATCTCAGAACTGTTCAAGATACCTTTTTATCACCCAATAATACATTCTACAGTAGATATCACTTGTGTGATAATTTTTTTTATCGCTGTACATGAATTTGATTGGTCAATTAAAAAGGAACTACTTGAAAGAACAGTTCATTTTTTATTAAAAGTAACTTTTAAAAAAAAAAAAAAAAATATTTTTATTTAATTGACCTTGATGGAAACACTGGGTCAATATAAAGGACTTTGCAATGACTGAATTGCTGTCAAAAAATGATGTATCACTACGCCGTAATGTAATCAGGTTCAGTTTGCGAAATGTTTGATTACCAGTAACATAAATAGAACCTTCCTTTTTATGGATGAAAACTTACCAACAGACATAGGTGTCGACGATGTACATCATGAAATTTTGGGCGTATAAAATGGAAAATGAACACTTACACCTGCAGTAAAGTTTGCTTTGTATGATTTGTATAAATCAGTTGTCTTGTCAATGAGTTTAACATCAAAGTCTTCGTTGCATTTTACAGACAATTTAAATCCATAATTATTAACATCTAAAAAGTAAAATTAAGATATTTTGATTTTTTCATTGGTGTACGTTCTTTTGACGAGATTGCAGGCTATTGTTTTTGGATGTGCCAATATTTTTGGAAAATAAAACAACGTTACAATATTATTTCTTTCACATTTCTTTGGATATAACCCTCCATGACATCGACATATATATATACAACGATGAGCATTTAGTCCGCTGTTTTGTTTGTCCATATTAAAAGATCAATAACTTCTGGAAGTAAACCCTTGTGCAAAGATGCATTAAATGGTTGTCTACTTTATCTCTCTAAGTAGAAGCAGATGTCAACCGACAAAACTAGTAGTTTCATTAAAATCATCTGGGATATCCCTCTCAGGTTTAAAACGAGCGTCCGCTTCGTTTGTTTGTTCCATCCCTGGGATACTTAATGCCATGACATCAGATTTCCACCGATTACTGTACAAATTAAGTCACTGTCTTTGCCCAACCCAATGAGATGCTAAAGGTTTCTAATTTGTAAACTCATTTGAGGTTTAATAGATATAAAGCTGTGTTAATATACATAACGTCAACAATGACAAGATAAGAAAAGATTACAACAAACCTATGATTGGTTTATGAGTTGGATAAATTGTGTTTGCTTCAGTTGTAAGAGATGACCCTGAAAGAACACCAAATAATTAGGTGTTTTTTTTCAATATTTAATTGTAATATTTAATTGTAAGTCCCATATTTCATAAGGTATCCGTTGATATAAGTGGGCTAAAGTAGACAGATTTGCTTTTTGGGATTAGTCAATTAAGTCACTCCATTATTCAATTGTGTTTTTATAGCGTTGGTACATACATATATCTAAGCAACAAAAACTCGCTGGAATGTGGGGACCTGGCAGCCATCGTACATACAAATTGAAAGTATATATTTCTTAGAAAGAAAACTTATCACTGCTTCATTTAGGTACACATGACTAGCATACAGATTTGCTAGAATCACACGCAATTAACAGGTTCTGTTCACTAAAATTAACATCTCCATTAATAAAAGCATTTTTCCTTTTCTAAAAATGTGACGCCATGCCAGTTCAATTTTGAAAAGTATCTTGCACAAAAAGTATTGTGGACGGGCGGAATGCTTACCTGGTGTTGTCATAGAAATGGTCGGTGCAACTGTTGAGATTGTTGATGCTGTAGATACCATAGGTGTTGCCGTAGATATCGTTGGCGTAGACATTATTCGTGCCTCTGTAGACGCCATCGTTGCTTTTGTAGATACCATAGATACTGCTTTAGACGTTGCGGTCGTAGACAACGTGGATGTAGATGCTTCTGTAGTTGTTACTGATGTAGATAATTTCGGGACTTTTGTAATGGCAGAATCCGTAGAGAATGTTGTTGACGCTGCTGTAGAGGTGGTCGTTGTTGCTGTAGAGGCCGTCGTAGACAATATAGATGTCAATGATGTAGACAATGTCTGTACTGCTGTAGTGGCAGAATCCGTAGAGAATGTTGTTGACGCGGCTGTAGAGGCCGTCGTTGTTGCTGTAAAACCCGTCGTAGACAGTGTAGAGGCTGCTGTAGATGACACTGATATAGACAATGGCGGTGCTGCTGTAGTGGCCGGTGCCGTAGAGAATGCTGCTGGCGCTGCTGTAGATATTGCTGGTGCTGCTGTAGAAGTTGTCGTTGGTGCTGTACATACCGTAGGTGTTGCCGTAGATGTCGTTGCCGTAGATAATGTTTCAGCCAATGCCATAGAGAATGTTGCTGGCCCTGTTGTAGAAGTTGTCGTCGGTGTTGTAGATACCATAGATGTTGCCGTAGATGTCGTTCCCGTAGACAAAGTTTGTGCTTCTGTAGAGGCCATCGTTGCTTTTGTAGAAACCATAGATGATGCTGCAGAACCCACAGAGAATTTTGTTGGCGCTGCTGTAGAGACCATCGTTGTTTCTGTAGATTCTGCTGTAGATGTCAATGATGTAGACAATGTCTGTACTGCTGTAGTGGCAGAATCCGTAGAGAATGTTGTTGACGCGGCTGTAGAGGCCGTCGTTGTTGCTGTAAAACCCGTCGTAGACAGTGTAGAGGCTGCTGTAGATGACACCGATATAGACAATGGCGGTGCTGCTGTAGTGGCCGGTGCCGTAGAGAATGCTGCTGGCGCTGCTGTAGATATTGCTGGTGCTGCTGTAGAAATTGTCGTTGGTGCTGTACATACCGTAGGTGTTGCCACTGATGTAGACAATGCCGGTACTGCTATAGTTGTCGAATCCGTAAATAATGTTGTTGGAGCTGCTGGAGAAGTCGATGTTGTTGCTGAGGAGGCCGTCGTTGCTGTTGTAGGTTCTATAAACTCCTGTGCACCTGTTTTGGCTGCTCCTGTAGAGACCATAGGTGCGTCTGGTGATGCCGCTGTCGTAGAGACAGTTGATGCTGTTACAGCTGTTCTTGTAACAATAAGAAGTAGAAAAACAAATCCATCCAAGCAATGACGATGAAACAATGATACCATTTTAGTGGTACTGGATTGATGTCCAAACGTCGCGCTATAATAATAAATTAGAATATTAGCAAGAAAATCTCTCATTTTGTGAAATAGTTGTCTAAGAAACATCTGCTTGATAAATACGCATGGACGGTGCTAGTAAAGAGTGGGTAATTCATCTCGAAGAGTGATATTCATCGTTTACAAATACCAACCAAGACAGATTCAATATAATCAGTTGGCTATACTGGAAATGATCACACAAGCAAAGCCTACTGATTAGTAAACGTGATGTCCAAGTGGAAGTGTGACACTATCCTGTTAACGGATCTCCAGAAACCGGACAGTAACACTACCCTGACAATTATCTAATTCGGACTTCCACATTGTGTTCATTTTTACTCAATAGATCAATAACTCTGGAACACCGTGTGGTTATAACTATGTTTGTTTATCTTTATAACATCCATAATACAAAGGTTATGTACAGGAAGCTAAATACACAGCAAAGACATTAAATTAAACTAATTATAAGTTCCCTATCCCTTCTAGGTCTACATCGTGATCTTACCGGCCTCAAACTGAGGCGGCTAAAGGTATGTCTCTCTAGGAACACTGCATTTTGTCTCTATCGAATGATGTCTGAACCCCGATCTCTAAGCCGGAGAGACTGGGGTAACGTCATTTTGAGAATACCCAATGATGCCTGGTTCCATTCACTTTTTTTGAATTGTCTGTATGTTTGGGTTTTCCTGAGTATGATGTCCTGTCAGTGTATTTGTTTTTGTGTAAATTTTGTGTGGTGCAGTCCCCCTGCACTTACTATTAGAGTCTTAAAGGTGGCAGGAGCCACGTACATACTTCTTATTAGATTTACATGATGTCCCTATCCAGGCTTGAATCTGGGGCGGCTAAAGGTATGTCCCTCTAGAAACACTGCACATTGTCTCTATCGAATGTCCGAATCACGGCCTCTAAGCCGAGGAGGCTGTGTGAAAGTGCTTCGGGGAATATCAAATGATGTCTGGAGCGAATTCAATCGCGTTCTTTAACTTATATAAAACGTATAGATACGTCATCTGTTAGGGCGGGGCAATTAGTATTTTTTTGGATAAGTGTTTCACTTGGCCACCTTCTTACGGCAACCTTATTGTACATAATTGGACTAATCTGATCACCCAATGGCTGGACAACAGTAACACACCTCCAGTAACGGATAGTGACGGAACTGCCAGTGAGCTGGTCTAAGAAAGTTGTAGGTTAATCCAAGGTACCTATTAATACCTAATTAGCCTAAATCCCTTTAACCACTTCAATATATTAAACAGAGCACCTTTCATAAAAAGTTTATATAATTAAAGAAGATCGTGTGCGTAACTTATATAAATAGACTGAAATTTTAAAAAAAACAACAACAGTGGTTTGTTATCCTTGTTCAGTATGACAAATCAAGGATAAAAAAGAACATTCGCGTTTCAGATCTTAAAGTGGCAATGTTATTGTTAATTTATAAAACAGACCACAAATTTAAACATGATGTATTATCGTCATCTGTAGTAATAGTAAGGGGATTTATGCTATATGAATATTAACGTTGATGTGTGTTTATTTAAAACACAATTCATTTGTTTTCAAATCGAGAGAATAGCAAGACATGTGGTCTAGAGTCAAGGCTAATTTGTTTATTGTTTTAAAATAATATTTTGATGAAAATCTACTAGATCTCTCAAGGCCATATTTGGGTAATGGTTGACGTAATTGGGCAACCAATCACATAATTAATTGCATAAATCTGGACTTATAAACAGTAAGATCTTTGTGCATCGGATATGATAGGCTTTGACTGTTTTTCTTTATATACTCGACCTACATATTTTACTTGAGTGCCGTGCCAGGATCGATCCTGAAGGGAAAGGACCGAGTACCCTGGGTGAAAACTCATGGAAACCAATAACCAAAAGAACTTTGGCGGAAAACTTGGTGAAAATATTCACAAATGGGTAAATACTTTTTTCTGAAAAACTGAAAATGTAATATTGTTTAACAAACCCAAAAATTGCTTTGTAGTTATTTTGAGATAAAATAAAATAAGACGATAGGTGTTAAAAGTTTAAGCGTAGGATATAAAATATATACATTAGTCAAAGTTAACAGGAAAGCTGGTCTAATTGTTTGGATGCAGCTACGGCGGGTGTGGCGCCATGCAGGGTAAGCTTACTCTTCCGAACACCTGTTACCACTGTTCCTCATGCATTTTGTACATGGTGAACAGCCCATTTGCTGATTACAGTATTTTGCCTATACCGTTTTTTAGGACGTCTATATGGTTTGGATTGTTCGTACTTGGTTTTATTTTATTAATGACTAAAACCATATATGGTTAGTTGCTGAAATTATATGTGTGGGTTAAAATTGTGCACTGATGTTGGAATAAGTGAAGACCTTGCTTGTTTCATATTCAATGTTTTTGTTTTAGTTGAAACAAAACGGAAATCAAACTTGTAAATTAATGAGTGAATTGCAAAAGGTTAAATTGAATTAATAGTAATAATTATGTATCATAATATGTACTTCTGCAGAAACACTTAACGTTGACAGAAGTCTATTTTACACATATATGAGCTATTCCTAAAATTTATAGGAAAATCCGTTAAGATTGTATAATGATTACAGATATAGGTAAGACATTTTAACTCTGTAGATGTTATTGGTAACGATCAGAATGGACCAATGGACCAAGCTAATTACTTTAAACTAATGCTAGTATGGTAAGGTATCAACAATTGTATGAACAAAATTAAACGGCAGCCAGACTCTCGTTTTAAATTATTTAAACCTAAAAAGATATTTGACAACTGAAGTTTAATTTTCAGTGATACAGTCTAAGAGTTTTAATAATTATAGTCATCGAAATTATGTGCCATCTACATATGAATAGATATGATAGGACCCAACACTGATCCCTGCGGTACCCCGAACATTCTTTTGATAAACACCACTGATAACCTTATTTGTTTTCAACTTTTGTTTAGTTAATTATTAGATTGTAAACAGATAAGACGACCATTCAATTGGCATTTCGGCGACATTACCGAAAAGTCGAATTTTGAAAAATATAATCCACGTACCATATTTAATAATATTACGCGGAAGATGTATCTTCAATTTCATTCGAATATCGAACTTTTTAAAAAAACATTTGATAACTTCAATCGATGCTTATTATAATAACACGATAAATTATTCATAACTTATAAAACAAAACCCATTATGGCTACATCGAAATGTCTCCGGAAGTGACATAAACGTAATATAATATGTGATTTATAATCATATTTACGACAATCTATTATTGATCAGATGGGTGAAACGAATCCGTTACACTATCGGCTAATAGCCGGTACACCTAAAACAGATATCTATGCAACGAATATCTTGAAAATACATATTGTCCATAGAAAAAATGCCCCCACATTATAATATTTTTACGGCATCTAGACCCAGGTTCATTTTAACCTATTACGTCTTATCTATTTAATACTATACTCAACAAAACAAACGAAACTTACTTTAAAATAGAGGCGGTAAAAATTTTCTATCATCAATATCATCAATAGTTACTCCGAATTTTATGTCCGCATCATATCGCCAACTATATTTGTAAAACTTGTTTTGATAATTCAGTTCGAGTGAAAAAAATATTAAGTTGTTATGAAGTGATACCCATGGTTTTTGTTTCAATATCATTAACACGGTGTAGATACCATAATAAGTGCATTCATTAAACGAAGAGTTTAGGAATTTGCGACGTTTATGGAAGGTGTACGTTTTTTTTTTCTTTGGAGGGGAAATATTTTGTAGCTTAAAGTTATGATAACTACGGTATTATTAACTGGGCTATACTATAACGATGACATCTTTATGATTTTTGTTACATTTATTGAAATCACTTGTCACGTCTTCACATTTTTCCTCAGTGTCAAAACCCAATGCATGTACTTACCATTAAAACCGGTTTGATTTTAAAAATGAACGGACCGTTAAGATTAGAAGAGTGTTCAGTTTCCAGGCCAGCTATTAATTTTACCCGGAATATGTCTAGAAAGTGTAGTAATATTAGGGCCCCGGCGTAATATTTGTTCGAAATTCATGAACGAGTTAATTGACACGTACACCAGGAAGCATGAACTATGATTTAATATTAACATGAATATGTCATTTGTCCTTTTCATTGTCAAAATATTATGAGTTTAATTTAAGTGTCATTAATTTGTTTTGAATATACCTTGAGAAAAACAAAATATATCAGCTCTACAGTCAAGCAGAAAAGTCTAGTGTGGTATTGTCCAAAACACTCGTGGGAGAAAGTTATCAATTACATCATGCATTAGGCATAAGTAACCAATCACATAATCGCGTAAATATAGCACGTACCACCGGGAAATCGAAACCACGCCAGTTGACTCAATGACATTCATCCAAGCACCGCCCCTTTCACACTAATTAATAAATGCATACCTTCGCTTACATTAAAGGGACATTCAGTAAGATTAGAGCTGACAGTTCGCGGTATAATAGCTAAAAATAGATAATGAAAATAGAACATGCTGAAAATTTCAGTCAAATTGCTTCACTCTGAACCGAGATATTAGTGTTGGTACGATAATAAACAAAGTCTCGATTATCCATTTTTACGTTAAATTATCCATCACAAAATGTATTCAAATCCACTAAATATCACAGTTGATTAATTTCTGGGAAGTTAATTAATGTCTAATTAATAATTTAGATAACATTTCAGGCCAAAAGAAAGACCTACAATAGGCAGATTTAGCTTTTGCATAATGCATGTTTAAATGGAAGAAAATAAATGCTACTCAATATTGTTTTCAAAATAAAATCGTCGATGCGGGAATTAAATAGGTCAACTAGCTTCGCGTCTGTTGCCAAGCACGGCCAGTTGGCTAGAAGTTTTGGCACGTGACCTGCACGAGGCAATATACTTTTGCTCTTTCTTGAACACCTATTGCACATCTAATGTGTTTATACTTATGTATTGAATAACAGATAACAAGTCCCACTGTTTGTCCTTAGCAAAAAAGTGATAATTAAAGCTCCTGTCTTTTTAAAGCTATAGTTAATGTACAACATAAAGGATGTTTAATTGCAATATGGTCCCATTTAAGCCACTTCCATTTAAGGGATTACTGCTAGTTAACTGATGAATTGAAATCCCAAATATTGAAGCCTTTAATGCTAAGTTGATTGCTTAAAAATCGACAAACTTTCGAGCAATCCAGCTTTTCGGGCAGACGGGTGAAGTGAAAACAAAAATTATTATTTCATCTAGTTGGCAAAATAAAGTGCCTTAAATCTAATAAAACACTAATTTCACTTTTCTTTTAATTGAATGCCACGAATTTGTACTGATTTGGCTATAATGGATTAAAACATTTTGTCTGGAGCCATTCTACTTTGATTATTATTTGTGAATGCAGCTGCAACAGTATGATTGGATGGTTAGAATTCAGGAAGGCATATAGAGGGATTTCGGTTGCTTAATTCACGGGCTAAAATAACAGAAAAACGCTTCGGGGAATGCGAGGCCTCCATATCCCGCGACGATTGATTGGTTGTTTGGGATACAGGTAAGTCACAGGTAGGCTATATTGGACCATTTTAAGTTGCTGTATTCACGGACTGGAATAGCAGGAAATCCCGTTTGTGGCCGTCAAATTTTCTGTGTGTGTGGGTGTGTGTGCGTGTGTGTGAGGCGGGGGGGGGGGGGGGGCTACACCGTACGCCCCGCTTCTTCGCCTCTCGCGGACATTTTTTCGGGCATCTTAGGTTCTGACCTCCCACACCCTCCTATCATTTATCAAGCCCGTACGCCTGAACAAGTATTTGTTCTGACCTCACCCAATACAAATAATATTTTTAATGATGACAAGAAGATATTATTATTATTACTTTATTATTACAAAATTTATATTATTACTTTATTATTACAAAATCTATATAGCGCTCCTTTCACAGATGTGTTCAGGGACACTTTACAGTGTAGCAAAAACATACATTCAAAAAGTAAATTGCATCCAAAATGTTAAAAATGCATTAATTAAATAAACAATTATTTCTAAAATATATATACAAGGAAGACAATTGACAAAACAATAGTTGTTTAAATTTGTTATAAGCCTTTAAAAATCAGAAAGTTTTAGTCTGTTTTTTTTAAAAAAATTAACTAGTGATGATTAACATTCTAATATTAAAAGATAATTGATTCCATAAAATAGGCGCTTGATAACTAAAAGAACGTGCCCAGTAACTAGAAGGGTTTACAATTTTTTGCTTTAAAATTAATTTATCAGATGAACACGGGGTTCCATCTGGGGTATATAATTCTAAAGACCCCTACGCGCAAGCGAATTATTGAAATAAAATTAGTCCATATGTTAGTCCCGAAATGACCTAGTTTGTGTCGAGTGGACGTCAAACCCCATCTCTCTCTCTCTCTCTCTCTCTCTCTCTCTCTCTCTCCCCTCTCTCTCTCTATTCGTAATAGCCATTATGTTTAATACAAGATAATTAATGATACTATGCAAAATAACCTGTATTTCCTCACCCTCCCCAAAATTTTACCATCACACACAACCACTACCCACCCCAAAATGATATAAACATATATTATGAAATATAAAACTACCCCCCCCCCCCTCACACACACCTCATCCTCCCTCCATAAACTAAACTTGCCTATATTTTACCATTCCCCCACAACCCCTAACCAGCCCAAAATGATATAAACATATATTATGAAATATAAAACTACCCCCCCCCCCCCACACACACACACACAGCTCCACACTTCCAAGCACCCCTGACTTTCCCCCGCATCATCTTCCCTCCATAAACTAAACTTGCCTATATTTTACCATCCCCCACAACCCCCACCCAACCCAAAATGATATAAACATATATTATGAAATATAAAACTACCCCCCCCCCCCGACACACACCTCACCCTCCCTCCATAAACTAAACTTGCCTATATTTTACCATTCTCCCACAACCCTTAACTAGCCCAAAATGATATAAACATATATTATGAAATATAAAACCCGACCTCCACACTGCCAAGCACCCCTGACTTTCCCAAACATTATTTATAAAGACAATCTGATTTCAAATCTCCGTTTTTATATAACTTGTCAAGTTATCTTGGCCATAAACTTTTATCTTCGGGCGCCGAATTACAAACTTAAAGATAAAAAAAATGAAGATTTAGATATGTAAATGGCCGTTTTTGCTATTATAGTTCAAAATATATAATTTCATTCAAATTACTTTATTCTGACCGACGTTTTAGGTGTTGGGAGATGTAGCCTTGATTGTTAATTATCAAAGCAACTGTACTGGAAAAACGAGACTAAGTCCCCCCCCCCCCAACTCGCTGTCATATCTCTCCGCCCCTACACCAAATCGACTGTCTTTAACTTACCCCCACCCCCCGTCATAACCCACCCTCCTGTCTCACCCCACAACACCTCCCTAGCATACAACACCTTCCTGACTTGCCTACATGATTCTACCTCACTGCCCCTTAACTATCATCTATACCAACTTCCTGCATGTCCCGGGGTCGTGGTGGCTCGGTGAGTAAGACGTTACCTCGCTAACCACTAGGTTCCGTGTTGGGGCCTGGTATTGGCCTAGAAATTTGTTCGGAATTTTTCGGCCCGCCCTCGCCTATGATTCAGGATAGGGACGACGTATAGTCGCTCGGATGGACGGTACGTAAAAGAAACCTTGACAGGTAGAGTTTGAAATAAAAGAAGGTTGTAGTGTCGCTGTCCGGGACTCATTTTCTTATACCACACTGTATGGTGTATGCCCGTCTTCATTAACCCAGTCGGGGGAGAAAAGTAGGACGTTAAACCCAATTTCATTTTCTCCCTGAAATGTGGTGTATAGAATTTTCAATTTATAATCCGAAAATAAGACGATCAGACACAAATATATCTCTAATGTCACATAAATGGTTACTTTACCGTGGTTTCCGTGTCGATGTGTTCATAAAACGAGCGACCAGATGGACTAATATCACTAAGTTGATTTATATAATTCTGAAATAAAAATTAAAATTCAAAATTCAAATAAACGAGATTTCATCATACAAATGATTAACAATAAAGGTGCTTTTCAATTATTGGATACAATTCTTTCGATTCCATATTACGGTAATAAATCTGATTTCTCCCTGAGGCATGGAATTTGTGGTGGCTAGAAACAAATATTTTCTAATAACGAAGGCGAAGGTGTGACAAAATGCGTGATTTCGCGAAGGTTGAAAGTTCACTTCTTTCCGCTCTAAATTCGCACAGACTCGATTTTTGTTTCAAACTTTCCGCATAGTTGTTCGAATTGGACAAAAAGCCTAGATTCCGTGTACAAATGAAGTGAACACTATGTAATGGCATAATGGCAGCGCGGTTAGGAAACAGGATTCACGCCGACGGAGCTGACTTGTTCAGGCGTTCGAATGTGACAAATCACCGAGGCCCGGTATGGTTAGTGAACAGGTCTTTCAACTTGTACGAAATGGCACCTACAAGGCTGACAAAGATATTGTCATAGGCGTACGAGTCAGGAGGCAGCTGCCCCCTAACGTTCGGGCAATCTGACTATTCGGGCAGACGGGTAAATTGAAAACAGAAATTATTACTTCATCTAGTTGGCAAAAAAAGTGCCAAAAATCTAATAAAACACTAATTTTTACTTTTCTTGTAATTGAATACAACGAATTTGTATTGAATTGACTATGGATTAAAATATTTCATCTGGAGCCACTTTGTGCGACATTTTTTGGTTATCGATTATTATTTGTGAATGCAGCTGCAACAGTCTGATTGGATGGTTTGAAGTTGCTAAATTCACGGGCTAGAATAGCAGAAAAACTCATTTGCAGCGGTTAAATTTTCCAAATTTGGGGTTGCTTGGGATTTGGGATTCAGGTGGGCAAAGAGTGGGATTACGGTTGCAGCAGTTAAATTTTCAAAAATTTCCCCGACGGTCCCATCTCCGTGCACTGTAAACGGTTGATTGATTTCGAGTCAGTCACATCACATTGAAGTAATTGCTGTTTTCACGGGCTGGAATAGCAGGAAAACGCGTTTCCGACCATCAAATGTTCGAAATTTACTTTGCAGGTTGTGTGCGTGTGTGTGTGCGGGTGTGTGTGTGTGTGGGGGGGGGGGGGGGCTACACGCTACGCTCCACTCCTTCGCCTCTCGCGGACATATGGCACCGTCGTCTGTCCAAACTTTCAGTGAGTCCGTATGTATAAATAATGAATTACACCCACCATATATTTATCGTTGATCTTATACAAACGTATACAATTTGAAACAGCGTCTTCTTTATATTATATATTATTATTGGCATACTTATTCAACAAGAAAGTTACTCAAACATCTATTTCAGTTTTACACATGTGACGGCATAATGAGCATAAAATGACTATTCATTTCATTCGTGCAAACCAGTGAGGTGTTACGATAGAAATAGAAGAGAGAAGATGTCTTAACGCTAGGGTTCCCACCATCACGTTTCGCCGTCAAATTTTCTTGGTGTGCACGGTAAGCCCCACTCCTTCGCCGGCATCACCGTCTGTAACCCGAAATATTTTCAGACATTTCAGGTTTTGCCCCCTAACACCGAGCCCGTACCCCCATCGGAACAAAATGAAATGAAATGAAATGAAATGGAGTTTAACGTCCTACTGTTCTGCTCCTAACCTGGGCTAATGAAGACGGGCATACGCAATACAGTGTGCTATGAGGCACTACGGCCTACTCTTATATCGAATTTCAACTGCCAAGGGATCTTTTACGTGCACGCCAATGTGTACACGGGACCTCGGTTTTTCGTCCCATCCGAACGACTAGACAGCTTTCCTTGTCAGCCCCTCCGTCCTGCATCACTGACAAGGGAGAACCACGCCGGAAAATCTGGATGAACTTTCTCGGCCAATGCAGGGATCGAACACCCGACCTCCAGGCTAGCGAGCTAGCGTCTTACCCACTTAGCCACGCTATCCCCCGCCCATCGGAACAGTATTTACATGTAAATAGTGGTCGCTTCAAAGATTATTATTTGACCGAATAAATTAATAGGCCAATTTCTTGTCATGGTTTTTACCTTATGTGCATCTGTATCAGATCTCATACGTCCATCAGTAGTTGATTCGTTAATGTTTTCTTCGCCCAGTGTTGGCTTGTACGATGAAATGCTCTCGAAACTCAAATTGCTTTGATCGGATTCCCTGTAATGATTCAATAGAAGAATACAGGATTAAGACTTATTACATCCTTATTAAAGTGTACTGTCCTGTTCCGTCATTAACAGAGTGGGCTGTTCTATTCTGTATTTAACTTTCTCTTGCGTTGTTAAATATACATTATGTAAGATTAAGATAAAGATCTAGACATTCGTGCTATAATAATTCGAAAATAGATAACTTAAAATGAATAATTTGAAAGTTTCATTCCAATTACTCTATTGAGAGCGAAGATATTAGCCTTTGAAGGTTTGACAAAAAGTGTGCAATAATTGCAACTACCGCCTTTCATTTTTAAATTACATTAAAATATGGCTGAACTGTTCTAATCTATTGCATATCGCAGATATCACATGCCATCGAGAGTTGATTATGGCCTGGATCAGTTAATTAATTTCTAATTAATAATTTAGAAAACATTTCAGGCTTAAAGAAAGACCTGCAATAGGCAGATTTAGCTCTTGCATAACGTATGTCTAACACAGTATGATGATCTACCCAACACTACTGGTTTATTGAGTAACGTCTCCCCATTAAGAAAATTTAGCGATCATTTTCGAAGGGCCTAACAATTTGACTTGAAATTTTCAAACAGGAAAAATCGCCCGTTGTTTGTTTTTGATCGATAAATCCACATTTATCTCCAGGGAAATCTAGGACTTCTCCTTAACAAAGTGTGATGTGATGTTAACAAGGTGCACTGTTCTTAACAAATGCGCTGTTCTAGTCCGGGTTAATATAGTGCACTGTTCTAGTTCATGTTAATATGGGGGATGCTCGATTGAACGTTCCAGAATTGAATTCTCTCAATCCCCAAAACAGTGTCAATCGAGTGAAAAGGAGAATTTAGGAGTACAACGCATGTGCCGGCTGCATAAAAAATATATCAACCAATAATGGCAGCTGAAACATATTTGCTATCTAAAATACGTCATGATTCTACTCACACCACCTCAGCTGTTGGAACTGGCAGAACTGTGACAGGACTTAATTCCGTATCAGTTGATTGCGATTCTGTCAATTCGGGACGTTCCGGAGTGACAATCGAGCATCCCCATAGTGTACTGTCCTTGTCCGTGTTAATATAGTGAGCTTTTCTAATTCCTGTTACGAAAATTACTTTGACATCGTGGCATGTTTTTAGAATCAAGTTGGTAAGACATTCCAAATAAATACGTACTCATAATGTTTTGTCCGTAGACGTGCTCTCCTTTTAATCACAATAACTATGATAATAGTGATCATGATAGTAACACCAAATATACTACAACTTATAATAATGATATAATTTGTTGATAATAATAGTTTCTCTATTTCTTCATCACATTTCTCTCCACTGTATATCACATCAGACGTCTCATCACATCTAGAAAAGAAACATATGGGTTTATAGGCTTAGAACGAACAAACCCGGGGGAATAAAATCACTGTTCTTTAGAATTCCTACAAAGTTTAAATGGCAGGACTAATACCCCATGATTATACGCCTACACAAAATAAACCCACGCTAGGTGTCATAAGGGCAGAATAATGACGCACTCGTGTTAGACAGGCTTAATACAATTCAATTCCGTGGGGCTTATTTGCAATTTCGTCAGTGAAGATGGTTTCAGACAGAATTGCAAGTCAAAGCAATCCGAACAAGTAAAATAATAATAATTTAAGGTTTATATATCATATATTATATACAAAATTAAGTTAACGGACGCATTAGTTAAGATTAGATACAGAGCTGACAGTTCTCGCTATAATAGATAAAAATAGATAATGAAAACAGAATATGCTGAACTTGTCAGTCAAATTGCTTCACTCTGAACCGAGATATTAGCCATTCAATTTTAGGCTCGCCTCGATCGTCATTAATACCGTTGGCACGATAATAAAGTCTCGGTTATCCATTTTTACGTCTAGTCATCCATCACAAAACGTATTCAAATCCACAAAATGTCACAGGCGGCTAACGATGGTATCGTGAATTGATTATGGTCTTGATAAGTTATTTAGTGTTTAATTAATAATTTAGACAACATTTAAAGCGTAAAGAAAGACCTGCAATAGACAGATTTAGCTCTTGGATAATACATGTTTAACTTACCTACACTTGGGTTGTCCTAAATGTAAAACACATGTACCGGATTTACCGCAGTTAAAACCATCACACGAATCTCTACAGATTAAACCATTGTTAGACGTTCTACTACACGTGCTACCAGTAGGACATGCATCTATACAAGGATCGGTAAATCTAGCTGCTTCACCTGTTGATTAAATAAAAATGTGCACGCAGTCGTACGCCTTAGGTCTGCCTTGTGTCCTCCCCACCCCACCCCAACCATATTCTGTATTTAGAGGTGTCAGTCATAATATGTGATAGAACTGGTTAAACACATTCCAAATATAATTTTAACACATAGATCATTGCTACGATAGATGCGTAATAAAGGTTTCAACAATCGGAAATGACGAACCCGAAAGAAAAACACGAGTTATCCGTCTGCATAACTGTCTGAATTGACGAGTGATAACAGATACATGGGCGAATTTCTGCTCACTAATAATTCCTTCAAAGACCAACAGTTGTGGTGTGAGACTGTGAGAGAATATCTGACAATTCATTAAAAGAATGGACTGTCACTAGATAAGAGAACACGAAAGTAAAATAGAAAAAGTCAGTGCATTACCATTTTTTTTATTAAGTATAGAATGAATAAAAAGAAGGGAATGTACGGACTATTTCTATTTTTCTCGTGTTCTCTTGTCTAATGACATTTAAAAACTTTATCGAATTGTTAGATATCCTCTTACAGTCTTATATTACAACTTTTGGTCTTCTTTAACATATGACATTTTCCGTCTCCGTTTAATAATAAATCATGTAAATACTATGGCCCGTCCTTCACACTCATACAAGATTACAGAACAAAGATCAACAACGTCGTTCAAACGTCACCGGAATTCACTAGTGCTGTCAAACATCAAATTTTTAAACCAAAAGTTATTCGGGTGTAAAATAAATATGTTATTTGTACATTTATTTAATTCTTTCGTAGGGCGTAACGTCCGCTTCCATCGAGGGTGACCGGCCGGTTGGAGCTCGGAGTTGTTTATATATGTCCCCATTAACTTACCAGAATTTGTAAAGTCGTCCATTTGTCGTTTTGTGTAGTTCTTATCAACAGGTGCTGGTAGGGTAATAATATTATTAATCCTCTCTACAACAGTTGTGTTGATTTGTTTTGTTGTGTTTTCATTGGTTTCAAGTAAATCAAATACAGCATTATAATCACATATTATACTTCCATTTCTGTAATAAAGATAAGCTTTATAATCACATATAGCACTTTATAATCACATATAACACTTTATAATTACATATTACTATCCTCTGTGTAATAAAAATACGGCATTATAATCACATATAACATTTCCTTCTCTGTAATAAAAATACAACTTTATAATTACATATAATAAATATACAGCATTATAATCACATATAATACTTTCTTCTGTGTAATGAAAATACAGCTTTATACAGACAGCGTCATATATAATACTTCGTTTTGCCACCGTACTATGAACCAGGAACTGAGTATGGCGTCATCGCAGCCATCTTGAAATTGTGACAGCCAATCAAAAATGAGAGCCCATCAATCTATGCACAATTTGCCAAGAAACAAGTAAGCCAAGCATGGAATTAGAATACTTATATTTTAATTTTCCAATGTTCATGTAGGGTCGCCTGTCCAACCTCGTGGGTTTTCTCCGGGCTAAAGACCCCTACGCCCAAGCGAATTATGGAAATAAAATGGAACCATATGTTAGTCCTGAAATGACCTAGTTTGTGTCGAGTGGACGTTAAACCCCATTTCTCTCTCTCTTCAATGTTCATGTCGATCGTACATGAATTGGCGGAGCAAAAGACTTTTTTCGAAGAGCTACAAAATGTGTAGTGGTTATTTGGCACATGGTTTTATTTTTGTAGACAGCAATACTTACTTAAATCCCAGTACTTCGATTTCTTTGAATCCATCTGTTCCTTTAAACGCCTCCGTAAGCTGTAATTACATTAATAAGCCAATAAAAAGAGGATGGACATACAGCAATTTTGACAAAAAGTTTTTCCTTTTTCTGTTAGATATGTCAGTATACATATACCCGAACCATGGTATAAACAAAGTTCGAATTTTGCATCTTGGCAAACCATTCTGTTTGCGTCAGATAGATGCTTGAAAATCAATGTATAGTAAATGTTATTTTTCGGATTTCCTGTAGCGTCAGATAGATGCTAGAAAATCAATGTATAGTAAATGTTATTTTTCGGATTTCCTGTATGTCCCAATGACGAATCTCACCAATTATGGAATTTAATTACAGGGTTTTTCTTACAAATAATTCTATGAAGAACCTTACCATTTTGCGGTCTAAAATTTAAAAATTAATAGTCAGTAATAAACGTTCGCAATTATCCACCAATGAATTCAAAATTTCGAAAGGATAGGTGTGCCTTTTGCTAATTTGGAATTTCTCGAATTTAATAGGTTTTTGTGTTTCCGTGGAAACAAATTTAACTTATGTGTACACAAATTTTTATTCCGGAACATATCTCATAAACCTTTCAAGATATTTTCAAGAAACTTTGTATAAACATCAACCTGCTAATTAGACATTTCTCAGACTTAATAAATTTCTCTGTTGAATGATTTTTTAGTTTATACCACAACACATCTGACTTAGTTTTTGGTACAGAATTATTATTCTAGAGAATATATCAGTGTTTAAAATACCCTTATAACCTTTTTACATTCACCAACCTAGTATTTTATTATTCATCATTAATTTGTAAAAACCTTGCTTGTAATCTGCATGTACATTTATTCAGTGTTGCAGAGGGGAGAAAACATGAATAAATTTGAGGATTCTACTAAATCATTTACATGGCAACGTAAATGTCTGGAGTACAATCGTAATGGTTCTTTGCATAATTTATAAGACAAATGCCTTTTATAAGTTATTTTGGTATTTTCAATTGCACTATACCTTCATTAAATGGCCCAAACAGATATACATTACATTAAAGTCATGTATATATGGAAGCTGCATAAACAGATTTTTTATTTAAAATTGGACGCCATTTCTTTCCACTTGAACAATAGCTCTATTTGGTAAGTATTGATCTCTAATTTTTAAAACCTGGGGATAGTATAGGGCCAAAGGTAATTGACCTGTCTTGGTTTTCAGAAATAAATGGCAATATCTATTAAACAGCGCCACAATATCAGGACAAGTGACACTAATTGCGAAATCATATATATTTAATGTTGATTACCAATAACATAAATAAGTTGTTTAACCCTCTCCCTTCCAAACAAGTACAAGGTCGCGGGGTGTTCAGTCATCTTGTTTAAACTGAACCAGCGTCATCATTCAGAGATAAAGAACCTTCCTTTTTATGGATGAAGAACTTACCAACAGACACAGGTATATATCATGAAAATGTTAGTATATAAAATTGAAAGTGAACACTCACACCTTCAGTAAAGTTTGCTTCGTATGATTTGTATAAATCAGTTGTTTTGTCGGTGAGCTTGTCATTAAATGGTTCGTTGGATCTTACAGACAATTTAAATCCGTAATTATTCACATCTAAAAAGTAAAATTAAGATATTATCATTTGTTCATTGGTGTACGTTCTTTTGTCGAGATTGCAAGCTATTGTTTTTGGATGTGCATTTAGACATGGCAAGGTTTGGGGGCGTTTGGAAAAGTGGACAATGAAATATTTATGAAACATTTTCTTTTTATTTCGCTGGAACAATAATAGTTTATCCTATCATCTTGTAAGATGTGGGGAAAATATATTCTACAAAATATATTAATCTGTGGTGTTTTTCACCACAAGAGTTCCACAAGATATTGAACTGAGAAAAAAAAATCATTTTCTTTTCCAAAAATTTCTTCTCAGACCTCCCTATATGCCTGTGTGGTACCACATTCCACAAGATGTTCGACTCAGAATAATTTTGATAGTGTTTTGGGTCTGTGGTATTTTTCACCACAAGCGTTCCACAAGATATTGGACTTAGAAAAAATATCAATTTTTTCAAAAATTTCTTATCATACCGCCCTATGTGCCTGTGTGGTACCACATTCTACAAGATTTTCGACTTAGAATAATTTTGATAGAGTGTTTTGAGTCTGTGGTGTTTTTCACCACAAGAGTTCCACAAGATATTGGACTTATAAAAAATATAAATTTTTTCTCATACCTCCCTATGTGCCTGTGTGGTACCACATTCCACATTATGGCATACCTACCCACCTAAGATTATCCACTTAATCCAGAAACTGCACTTTAAAACAACATGAATAATATGCTACCCGAGTAACAACATAGATCTATTCCAGTTTGCTACAGTAGACAGTGTTTCCTACTACCATCCCAGGTAATTAATTGCATGTGTTAAAACACATGGTCATATGGCATAAGAAAATCTTTTGCGATTCCACCAAAGAACATATATATAGGTGCTGATGGATTGGGCATACCTCATGCCGTTGACATTCACACTTTACACGTCAAGTCCACGGAGCAATATAAAGTGAAATCCTCCAGTGTGATGAACTGGAGAACAAACCACGACTAACCACCTTTGGGGTGGGGGCAAAGAAAGTGGCTTAATTTGTACAGTAATCGATGAAAATCTGATGTCATTGCATTAAGTATTCCATGGATGGAACAAACAAACCAAGCGGGCGCTCGTTTCAAACCGGAGATGATTTTAATGAAACTACTAGGTTTGTCGGTTGACATCTGCTTCTACACAGGGATATAACCATTTAATACATATTTTCACGAGGGTTTACTTCGAGAACCTGTTGATCGGTTAATATGGATAAACAAAACAACGAATTATACTCATCGTTGTATATTCGTTGATGTCATGGAGGGTTATAGCCCAGAAAATGGGAAAGAAATAATATTGTAACGTTTGGGGGCATTTGTGTGGAACTTTTCACCACAAGAGTTCCACAAGTCGTAAAGTTTGTGGAATGTGGTACCGCACAGGCACATAGAGAGGTCTAAAAAGAAATTTTTGAAAGAAAGGTTTTTGTTTTCTAAGTCCAATTTCTTGTGGAACTCTTGTGGTGAAAAACACCACAGACCCAAAAGACTCTATCAAAATTATTCTAAGTCGTAAATTTTCTGGAATGTGGTACCACACAGGCACATAGGAGGTATGAGAAGAAATTTTTGAAAAAATTGATATTTTTTCTAAGTCCAATATCTTGTGGAACTCTTGTGGTGAAAAACACCACAGACCCAAAACACTCTATGAATATTATTTTAAGTCGAAAGTCTTGGGGAATGTATTTATTTTCAGAAACCCAATATCTTGTGGAACTCTTGTGGTGAAAAGTTCCACACAAATGCCCTCAAACCTTGCCATAGATGTGTGCATTATGTATATAAGACCAATATATTTTGGAAAATAAAACAACGTTACAATATTATTTCTTTCCCATTTTCTAGGCTATAACCCTCCATGACATCAACGAATATACAACGATGAGTATAATTCGTTGTTTTGTTTATCCATATTAACCGATCAACAGGTTCTCGAAGTAAACCCTCGTGAAAATATGTATTAAATGGTTATATCCCTGTGTAGAAGCAGATGTCAACCGACAAACCTAGTAGTTTCATTAAAATCATCTCCGGTTTGAAACGAGCGCCCGCTTGGTTTGTTTGTTCCATCCATGGAATACTTAATGCAATGACATCAGATTTTCATCGATTACTGTACAAATTAAGCCACTTTCTTTGCCCCCACCCCAAAGGTGGTTAGTCGTGGTTTGCTCTCCAGTTCATCAAACTGGAGGATTTCACTTTATATTGCTCCGTGGACTTGACGTGTAAAGTGTGAATGTTAACGGCATGAGGTATGCCCAATCCATCAGCACCTATATATAAATGTTCTTTGGTAGAATCGCCCAAGATTTTCTTATGCCATATGACCATGTGTTTTAACACATGCAATTAATTACCTGGGATGGTAGTAGGAGGCACTGTCTACTGTAGCAAACTGGAATAGATCTATGTTGTGACTCGGGTAGCATATTATTCATGTTGTTTTAAAGTGCAGTTTCTGGATTAAGTGGATAATCTTAGGTGGGTAGGTATGCCATAATGCCTAAATGTATTTTCCACATTGTTGTTGATTTGCCACCCAAATCAAAAGCCGTGTTGAAATCCACAAAACAAGTGACCCCTCCATCTATCTATAAGACTGTCTATGTATCTATGTATAGAGTGTCCTCTAATAATTTCCAGTCACATCGCCGGTGCGTCTAAAATCATGCGTTTGTGAAATGAAATGTAACGTCCTACTGTTCTGCTTCGACTTGACTTATGGAGACGGGCATACACCATGCAGTGTGCTATAAAGGACATTTTTCCCGGACAGCGGCGATAAGCTCTACTCTTATATCGAATTCCAACAGCCAAGGGATCGTTTACGTACACGTCAGTATGTAAACGGGATCTCAGTTTTCCGTCCCATCCGAACGACTACAGAGCTGTCCTTGCCACTGGGAGCGAACTCGCGAACTTCAGACTAGTGAGCGAGTGTCTTATCCACATAGCCACCGAGGCTCCACGTGCCTTTGTCATTTAACAGTCTTGTTGTTTCCATTGTTATTTATCTGACCTAGTTTCAACAGTCTACGGAGTTTGCGCTAGTGTGAAAATCGAATTAATCAAGTGAATTTAATTTGTAAACTCATTTGAGGCTTAATAGATATAAAGCTGTGTTAATATAAATACAAATGTCAAAAATGAAAAGATAAGAAAAGATTACAAAAAACCTATGATTGGTTTACGAGTTGGATAAATTGTATTTGCTTCAGGTGTAAGAGATGACCCTGAAAGAACAACAAATAATTAGGGTTTTTGTTTTAATATTTAAAATCTCAGCCTTAATAGTAGCCGTCCCATATTTCACAAGGTATTCGAAGACTATAGGCTGCAAATTAAACATCAACATATATGTAGAAACACCGCGAAAACCTTGTTTGGAATTTGTTAATCAATGGATTTGCTTTTCGGGATTACTCAATTAAGTCACTCCATTATTCAATTGTGTATTTACAGCGTTGGTACATACATATATCTTGGCATCAAAAACTGACTGGAATGTGGGGACCTGGCGACCATCGTACAAAAAAATTGAAAGTATATATTTCTTAGAAAACTTCATTCTGGTGCACATGACTAGGATATAGATTTGCCAGAATCACACCAAATTAACACCAAATCAACAGGTTCTGTTCAATAAACTTAACAGCTCGATTAATAAAAAGCATTTATTCTTTTCTAAAAATGTGACAAGTATCTTGCACAAAAAATGTTGTGGACGGACGGAATGTTTACCTGATATTGCCGTAGAAATAGCCGGTGCAACTGTTGGTGGTGCTGCTGTAGAGGTCGTCATTGTTGTTGTAGAGGCCGTCGTTGCTGCTGTAGATGCCACTTCCGTAGACTCCTGTGCACTTGTAGAAGCCGTTGAAGCTGTCGTAGGGATTGTTTCTGCTACTGTAGAGACCGTAGGTGCTGATGATAATGCCGCTGTCGTAGAGACAGTTAATGCCACTAATGTAGACAATGTCGGTGCTGCTGTAGTGGTCGATGCAGTAGAAAATGTTGTTGGCGCAGCTGTAGAGGTCGTCGTTAAGGCTGTGGAGGCTTCTGTAGATGCCACTAATGTAGACAATGTCGGTACTGCTGTAGTGGCCGAATCCGTAGAGAATGTTGTTGGCGCTGCTGTAGAGGTCGTCGTTGCTGCTGTAGATGCCACTTCCGTAGACCCCTGTGCACTTGTAGAAGCCGTTGAAGCTATCGTAGGGGTGGTGTCTGCTACTGTAGACAATGAAGATGATTCTGTAGATGCCACTGATGTAGAGACAGTTGATGCCACTGATGTAGACAATGCTGGGTCTGAAGTAGACAATGTCGAGACTGCTGTATTGGCCGAATCCGTCGATAATGGTGTTGAATCTGCTGTAGCGTTCGTCATTGTTGTTGCAGAGGCCGTTGTTGCTGCTGTAGATGTCACTTCCGTAGACCCCTGTGCATTTGTAGAAGCCGTTGAAGCTATCGTAGGGGTGGTGTCTGCTACTGTAGACAATGTAGATGATTCTGTAGATGCCCCTGATGTAGAGACAGTTGATGCCACTGATGTAGACAATGTTGGTTCTGCTGTAGACAATGTCGAGACTGCTGTAGTGGCCGAACCCGTCGAGAATGGTGTTGACGCTGCTGTAGCGTTCGTCATTGTTGTTGCAGAGGCCGTCGTTGCTGCTGTAGATGTCACTTCCGTAGACCCCTGTGCGCTTGTAGAAGCCGTTGAAGTTATCGTAGTGGGGGTGTCTGCTACTGTAGATGTCACCTCGGTAGCCCCCTGTGGACTTGTAGAAGCCGTTGAAGCTATCGTAGTGGTGTTGTCTGCTTCTGTAGACAATGAAGATGATTCTGTAGATGACACTGATGTAGAGACAGTTGATGCCACTGATGAAGACAATGCTGGTTCTGCTGTAGACAATGTCGAGACTGCTGTAGTGGTCGAATCCGTCGAGAATGGTGTTGACCCTGCTGTAGAGTTCGTCATTGTTGTTGCAGAGGCCGTCGTTGCTACTGTAGATGTCACTTCCGTAGACCCCTGTGCACTTGTAGAAGCCGTTGAAGCTATCGTAGGGGTGGTGTCTGCTACTGTAGACAATGTAGATGATTCTGTAGATGCCACTGATGTAGAGACAGTTGATGCCACTGATGTAGACAATGTTGGTTCTGATGTAGACAATGTCGAGACTGCTGTAGTGGCCGAATCCGTCGAGAATGGTGTTGACGCTGCTGTAGCGTTCGTCATTGTTGTTGCAGAGGCCGTCGTTGTAGAGAGTGTTGTTGGTGCTGCTGTAGAGGTCCTCATTGTTGTTGTAGAGGCCGTCGTTGCTACTGTAGATGCCTCTTCCGTAGACTCCTGTGCATTTGTAGAAGCCGTTGAAGCTGTCGTAGTGTTTGTTTCTGCTACTGTAGAGACCGTGTGTGTTACTAATGATGATGCTGTCGTAGTTGATGTTGTTACAGCTGTTCTTGTAACAATAAAAAGTAGAAAAACATACCCATCCAAGAAATGGCGATGAACCAATGATACCATTTTAGTGGTACTGGATTGATTTCAAAACGTCCGGCTATAATAATAAAATAGAATATTAGCAAGAAAATGTTGCCTTATAATCTCCCATTTTGGGATGTAGTTGTCTAGGGAACACCTGCCTGATAAAGACGCGAGGGAGAGTAATTTATCTTTTAGAAAGATATTCATCTTTTACAAATACCGACCAAAACAGATTTAATATTGTCACTTGGCTATACTGGAATTGATCACACAAGCAAAGCCTACTGATTGTCACGGATTTTCAGAAAACGGACTGTAACACTTATATTACTTAATCCCGACTTCCACGTTGTATACTTTTTTACTCCATAGATCAATAACTCTGGACTACTGTGTGGTTATACCTATGTTTATATATCTTTATAACATCCATAATACAAAGGTTATATACAGGAAGCTAAACACGGCGTGAAACTGGGGTGGCTAAAGGTATATCTCTCTAGGGAGATTGCATGTTGTCTCTATCGAATATCTGAATCCGACTGTGGGAACGTACTTCTGGGAATATCAAAATGATATGTACATGCAGCAAATTCAATCGCGCACTTTAATTTATATAAAACGTATAGATACGTTAGTTGTTAGGGCGGGGCAATTAGCATTTTTGGGTAAGTGTTTCATTTGGGCACCTTCTTGCGGCAACTTTATTGTATATAATTGGACTAATCTGTGCATCCAATGGCTAGACAACACCACACTTCCAGAAACGGATAGTGTCAGTGAGTTGGTCTAAGAAAGTTGTACATTAATCCAAGGTAACTATTATTACCTAATTACCTTAAATCTACCCGTCACCTATTTGTTTAACCACTTCAATATATTAAACAGAGCATATTTCATAGAACAAAAAAACTATAGTTTATATAATATTACAGAAGTTCGTGCGCGTAACTTATATAATTAGACTGAAATTAAAAGAAACCCAACAAAACAGTGGTTTGTTATCCTTGCTGAGTATAATTTTAAATTATCTTGTGGGACAACTGAAGGCATAAGTTGAGTTATTTAATCTTTGAGTATAAGGTTAAAATATGAGCAAAATATCCAGCATATATGTAGAGCCCTTGTGTTAAACGCGACTAGCGTATAGGGTTTTAGGTATAGTTTTTTCCCTAAGGAATTAAAATAGATGACTCGTTAAATTTACGAGATTATCATAAATCAGTATATACGAGTTTAATTTGAGGTTAAGGTGAGAATTAAGACACTTTAGAAGAGCGGCGAATTAAAAGGTGGCTGATTTGTGTTATTTATAAGCGTTATATGATATAATTGCCAGTTGTTTGTGCTATAATATGTTATAAGCGCTATATGATATAATTGTCGGTTGTTTGTGCTATAATATGTCATTAAAATGTGTAATGTCACAATGGTCTCTGAGTGTATTGTTTGTTGAGTAAACAATATGTTTTAACACTCTGTCGTTAAATTTGGCCTGTGTGCAAATCACGCGATGAGTTAAGGGTGAAATTATATCCAATCACAGATCTCTACTCACTTCATTTGGTACTCCGTATGGAAATAACTATACAGATCTGCCCTAAACTACATAAAAATCCCTACAAACGTTTTATAACAGGTTCATCCCGTTGTTCCACAAAACCAATTCCAAAAGTATTGACATTTATACTAACAGTAGTTAAAGAGGGTATTCAAACATACAGTGAAAAATATACTCTCATAGTGCTATCAATCAAATATGGATATTAAAAAATTACTTGATGGTTTGCAAGATAGATCACTTGCTTCTAGACAAACGTTTGACTTTTCTACCTTGTACACTAAAATTCCTCAGAGTAAATTAAACGCTCAGTTAAAAGACATTATTCGCACTATCTTTTCATCCAGATCGGGAACTGTTACATATGAATATCTAGTTGTTAATAACAATTCCACATGTTTTGTGGAAGGACCACAGTTAACTCCAAAAAAAAAAAATACACAGCCAACAAGATAATTCAGATGTTGGAATTCTTAATTGATATAATATATTTGTTGAATTGGGAGGAGAAATATATCAGCAAGTGTTAGTTATCTTGCAGATCTGTTTCTGTATTCTTACGAAGCCGATTATATACAGACAAATAAATGATGTCAGACGTTTTAATTTCATTTATCGATATACCGATGATGTTTTATCAATGGACAAACTTAAATTTAGTGATTATTTAGAATTCATATATGCTTAAAAATACTACTGACAGTGATAATTACGCTTGCTACATGGATCTGTTGTCGATTTTGACAACTGCCATAAACTGCAAGAGTAATAAATTATATGATAAACGTGATGACTTTGATTTTCCTATTGTCAACTTTCTATTTATTAGTAGTAACATTCCATTACCACCAGCTTTCGGAGTGTATGTCTTACAGTTAAGTCGATACAGTTAAGTTGTCCATTTTGACAACTGCGATAAACTGAGTATTAAATTATATGATAAACGTGATGACTTTGATTTTCCGATTGTCAACTTTCCATTTATTAGTAGTAACAATCCATTACCACAAGCTTACGGAGTGTATGTGTTACAGTTAAGTCGATACGCGAGAGCTTCGTCCTTTTATTTTGATTTGATTTTTTTAAGTAGGCATTTGTCATCTAAGCTTCAGCCCAGAATGGACCAATTACGTCAAACTGGTGAGTATGTACGAATGCTAGTAGGCCTATAATGTATCAACAACAAAAATTCTGGTTTAACATTATCTATATCTAACAAAATATTTGACAACAAAAGTGTAATTTTAAGTAATACAGTCTAAGACTTTTAAAAGTTGCTAGATAGGACACAACACTGATCCCTGCGGTACCCCGAACATTCTTTTGATAAACACCACTGACAACCTTATCTTTATTCGTTTTAAATTGTTGTTTTGTTAATTATTCGAATATACGCAGATACGACGAACATTCAATTGGCATTTCGGCGACATTACCGAACAGTCGAATTTAAAAAATATAATCCACGTACCATATTTAATAATATTACGCGAAAGATATATATTCAGTTTCATTCGAATATCGAACTTTTTAAAAACATTTGATAACTTTAAACAATGCTTATTATAATAACACGATACATTATTCATAACTTATAAAACAAAACCCCATTAGGGCCGCATCGAAATGTCTCCGGAAGTGACATAAACGTAATATATGTGATTTGTAATCATATTTACGACAAAATATTATTGATCAAACGATTGATACGAATCAGTTACACTACCGGCTAATAGTCTTTACACCTAAAACAGATATCTATGCAACGAATATCTTGAAAATACATATTGTCGATAGAACACTATAATATTTGTACGTTATCTACGCCTATAATGCTCATTTTAACCTATTAAGTCTGTTTGATACTGTACTCAACAAAAGAAATGAAACTTACTTTAAAATAGAGGCGGTAAAAAGGTTCTGTGTAATATCCTATCATCAATATTATCAATGGTTACTCCGAATTTTATGTCCGCAGCATATCGCCAACTATATTTGTAAAACTTGTTCTGATAATTCAGTCCGAGTAGACAAATATTAAGTTATGAAGTGATACCCATGATTTTTTTATTCAATAGCATAAACACTGTGTAGATACCTAAACGTGTGTTTGTTGAATGAAGGGATTAGGAATTTGAGACGTTTATGTAAGGGTGTAACTTTAAGGGTTAAAGTCTTTTAAATATTTTGTAGCTTAAAGTTATGTTAACTACGGTATTATTTACTGACCATATACTATAAGGATGACGTCTTTAAAAGTGATCTGATTTCAGATTTTTGTTACATATATTGAAATCACTTGTTGTCATGTCTTCAAATTTAACTTCAGTGTTCAATACATGTACTTAGTTTTAAAACCGTTATGATTTTAGATATAAATGGGTCGTTAAGATTTGAAGAGTATTCAGTTTCTAGGCCAGCAATTCAATTTTCCCGGATTATGTCAAGAAATAAACGTGAGAGGGTGTATAAATGGACCGTTAAGATTTGAAGAGTGTCCAGTTTCTAGACCAGCTATTCAAATTCCCTGGATTATGTCCAGAAATAAACGGGAGAGGGTTTAGTAATATTAGCGCCTCGACGTAATATTTGTTCGAAATTCATGAAGAAGTTAAATAACACGTACTACACCAGGAAGCATGAACTCTGATTTAATACATATCGTACATATAATATGTCATTTGTCCTTTTCATTATCAAAATATTATAAGATATATTTAAAGTGCAATTAATTTGTTTTGAATATACTGTGAGAAAAACAAGATATATCAGGTCTACAGTCAAACAGACAAGGCTAGTGTGGTATTGTCCAAAAAACACTCGTGAGGGAAGGTTATCAATTACGTCATTAGGCATAATTAACCAATCACATAATTGCGTAAATATGGCCAATTGAACAATCAATAGCAGAAGTCTAGGCATTTAAAACGTAAGATTTTCCCGGTAAGATCACAACATCAATATTGATTTCAATTGACAAATAATTCATGTTTTCAATGTTGATATTGAGTTAGAGACTTAGCTACTTTAAGCATTGTAATCTGTTTTCATATAAAGATGTTAAAGAAACCGTTGTACTGTTTTTCCTGTAGCCATATAGTTAGCTGCTGTAAATACACAACGTTTAAAGTGGGGTCCTATAGTAAAGAAATACAATAATATACGCCAGATACAAAATCACCGACTAACAAGATCTGTGGCAGATAAGAGTAAAGAATTACATAATACACGCCAGATACAAAATCACCGTCTAACAAGATCTGTGACAGAGAATATATCCCACGTCGGATGTGGTAAGCGTTTGGCCGGTTTCACTTTCCATATCTGACCGACGACGTATATTGTTACAAAACAATGTGAGACCAGTCAACACAAACTGGGGAGTAAAATATGGTTAAAATTTATTTCACTAATTCACTTGCGCGTGGAAGCTGTGAGCAGTACTATGATATTTAATGTGAATTAACTGTATATGCAGAATTTGATCAATATTGGTAGTTTGAGAGTATGGGTTATTGTAAATAAAAATATTGCCAATTTTTCTACATAGAAATGAGTATCCCATCGACGGGAATTTTGATTAATGTAAGGGTGGATGCAGCGGTTTGTATAACTATTAGTTTGACAGCTCTATTCTTTTCCGGGGGTTGGGTGACCGAATGGTTAACGCATGCCTGTTGGGTCACGAGGTCTGTCATTGAGTCAAATGCCGTGGATTCGATTCCCAGCTTGTACGTGACAAGGAGTAGGTCCTCCATGTTCCGCCCACTGTTATAGAAAGACCTCTACCCACAAGCAAATTATTGAAATAAAATTGAACCATATGATAGTAATTTGTTTGCGGTTATGTCCTTGTACACGTTTGATGTTAGATTTCAAATTATACAGCTTCCCTCTCGAGCCAACATTATCTTTAAGTCGGGGAAGTGGTTGATTGACTAGACTGTGATATTTTTCAGATGAAATTGTAATACTATGAAAAATAGACTTGTGACATGCAAGTTATAGAATATAGAGCTACGATAGCAAGTAAAGTTAGAACTTCATGAGAAATAATCTACCGTACGTTTACATTCCGAAAACAGCGAAGATCTGCCGATAAATGTCCTCTCAAATGGCATAGTTTCTTATATGTGCACACAAAAGTGTACACGGGACCTCTGTTTTTCATTCCACTAATACTCGAATCATTGAGTTATCTCATAATATGTATCGGAGAGATGTGGTTGTGGGGACACAACTTATATCTCCTACTAATACTCAAGACATTGGATTCTCTCATAATATTTTCATGGGGGTGATGTGGTTGTGGGGACATATCTCACATGTCCTACTAATTCTAAAGACATTGGATTCTCACAAGAATTCTGTAATATTATAGTAGGAAAATCGGTCTTTATCTAGTGGTATTGGTAGACGTTAATCGTCAATATGTGGTCTTGTCCCAGCAGATCATCTGTGTTAGTACATCATTTAAGCCTTCTTTTGCATGAAATATAGGAAATTGTGCCTTTGTCACAAGCTTCATGGTTGAGATGTCAAAAACATTCAAAAAATCACACAGACTGATGCTAGTTTGGATTATTAGCAAAACAATGATTTCATTCTTTGAAATTATGAAGACTATTAAAATGAACTGGTTAACAACATAAACAACCCAAGAACACTATTTTTTAATTTGACAAAATTCGGCCTTATGTGAGATATAGCATTATAGATTAAAATTATTTCTAAAACAAAATCATTGAATAGAAGCTTCCCAATAATTACCTGTGATGCAACTGCCAATTATTTTCACAGTTTTGTGCTCCTAATCAATTATAGGTAGTTTCTGAGTCATCAATACAGGGTTTTGTTTTTACCCAGACCGTCAACCAAATCCATACTAAAATTGAAGAATCAAATGTTGAAATGAAATGAAATCAGGTTTAACGTCCTACTGTTCTGCACAGACTGGGCTAATGAAGATTGAAATCCAAGCTTTGTGCTATGATGGAAATTTGACCTGGACAGAAGCGCCACGCCTGGTCTTATTTCGAATTCTGTCAAGGTTCTTTGTACGAGCCAATGTGTTTTCGTCCCATCCGAAAGACTGTATGTTGTCCCTTGCCAGGTCCTCTGTCCCGAACCACTGACAAGGGGGAACCACGCCAGAAAATCCATATAAACTTTATTGGCTTTCTTATAGGCCGCAGTGTCTTTACAGCTACTAAATTTACTTTCGCTTTCTCTTTAAATTTTTTTAAGATATTGATCTCTTAAATCAGTGCAATAACCCCAATAAATATTCTTATACAGTATATAAGGGGGGTTGGATGCCGAATGGTTAGCACGTGCGCGCTTTATCAAACGGTCTGTCATTGAGTCAACTGGTGTGGTTCAATACCCCGGTTGTGCGTGACAAGGAGTAGTAGGGTCGCCTGTCCAACCTTGTGGGTTTTTCCGGGTTCTCCTGTTTCCCCCCCCCCCACTGCTAAAGACCCCTACGCGCAAGCGAATTATTGAAATAAAATTGATCCATTTGTTAGTCCCGAAATGACCCCATTTCTCTCTATCTCTATACAGTATATCTGTTAATTTGTCAAATTGTTTTAGAAATTTATAAAGCGTGAAGAGAAATGAATGTTCTTTTTAACAATAAAAGTAAACAGAAACCAGTAGCCCATAGAATATATGTACCGGTGTTCTTGTTTATTATTTTATATTAGGATATTAGGGAATGAAAAATGAAGAAAATTAATAGTCTACTTAAAAAAAATGTTGTATCTCTATTTACCGGTATTTATTTATTTGTTAATTAGCGTTTTTAAAGAAAATTAGGGAACTGAAAAGTAGGCCTTAAAGTCAACACACCCTAATAGCCTTCAGAAAACGAGGGCGAAACCCTAGACGTATGTTGTCTGCGCTCGGCCCATGCGGTATCTCTCTCTCTCTCTCCCTCTCTCTCTCTCTCTCTCGACCGACATTTTTCAGGCATCGATTATTATTTGAGAATGCAGCTGCAACAGTATGATTGGATGGTTGGAATTCAGGTCGGCATAGAGAGGGCTTTCGGTTGCAAACCGATTGGAAACTTTGAAGTTGCTTAATTCAAGGGCTAGAATAGCAGAAAAATCATCGGGGATTGCTTGTTTGGGATTCAGTTAAGTCACCTAAGGTCTATAGGCTATATTGGACCACATTAAAGTTGCTGTATTCTCAGCCTGGAATAGAAGGAAAACGCGTTTGCGACAGTGAAATTTTCAAAACTTTCCCCCGACGGTCCCATCTCCGTGGATTGTAAACGATTGAATGGTCGAGTACGCCACCTAGACCATTTTGAAGTTGCTGTATTCACGGGCGGGAAATACCAGGAAAACGCGTGTGTGGCCGTCAAATTTTCAAAATTTCTCTTTTTCTTTGTATGTGTGTGTGTGTGTGTGTGGGGGGGGGGGGGGCTTCTTACACGGTACCGCTTCTTCGTCTCTCGCGGACATTTTTTTCAGACATTTTAGATTCTGCCCTACCACCCCCTCCTCACATTTATCGAGCCCGTACGTCTGACCAAGTATTTGTTCTGACCTCGCCAAATATAAATGTATTCTCTGTAATCTTCCAGTCGGAGCGGAACAGCAGAACTTTAAACTCCATTTCATTCTATTTAATCTTATTCATAATGATTACATGAAGAGGTTTCGATATTTTTTTTAATTTGGGGAATGCAATGTCACGAGATCAAATATTATCACGCTAACATTCGTTATCTGTTTTCTGTGAAACTGTTTTAATACGTCATAATAAATTGGTGTGATTGTTTACACTGGCCAATGGAACGTGCATATGTCCGAGAATTAGGTGATTGTATTAATAAACATTGTGATATTGTACATAGTGATACAATAAAAGGCGAACTCTAGTATATTGTACGTAGGTGTCCTACAGTTTAAAACATACTTTTATAGACATATGACGGACTGGGTGGATTCAATCATAAGATCTGTCATTGAGTCAAATGGCATGGTTTCGATTCTCCGCTACGTGACAAGGAGTAGGTTTGCCTTTTCAACCTTGTTTGCGTGTTTTCGCAAGACTTTTATTGAAATAAAATTGAAACTATTGTTAGTCCCCAAATGAACTAATCAACTCAATGAAAACTATTCTACATAGTGCGATTCTTGTATAAATACTTACGTAGTTACGTGGGAAAAGATGCATATCTATAACATAATTATCTTCCTTTAGTGACCTTTACCATACAATGTTGGTGCTGTTGACAAATAAAACACGCTCTTGCTGGTTCTTACTGATTGTCATTAGATCGAATTTTATTTGCTCGAAAAAGAACTTCGATTAAGTACGTGACGATACTTTGACTTGAACGATTAAGATTCACTAATCTTTCATAACAATGATTCTGACAGGAATTGTGCATCGACTGATCGCCAACCAGAGGATTCCGGGTTTAATCCCATTGTTAGCCATCAAAATTCCCTAAACTGTTTGGGGACCTCACATTATTGATACCTTGTGCGTCGATTTTTAATATTTATCAAGATGATCGGACATGACACGATATACACAACAAAAGCAAATATCAGATAAAGTGAATGGATCAGGGGGCTAGCCATAAGTATGGTGGCTGATTGGTATCATGTCGTAATGTCGTGATGTCGCCTTTCATAACGCGACAACCCGACAACCCGACATCACGACATTTCTACCCGACATTACGACAACCCGACACCATGACATTTTTACCCGACATCACGACATTTTTACCCGACATTACGACACTAAAAATGTCGTAATGTCGGGTAAAAATGTCGTGATGTCGGGTAAAAATGTCGTGGTGTCGGGTTGTCGGGTTGTCGGGTTTTCGTGATGTCAGGTTGTCGGGTTGTCGGGTTGTCGTGATGTCGGGTTGTCGCGTTATATCTTGACCATGTTGTACATCTCTATATTCGTTTAAAAAACAACTTAAAACACATTTATTTAATTGTATACAATCGTTAACATGTTCATAATCTTGTTGTTTATTTATGATTTTCCTAAGGCTAAGCAGAGATAAGCAATTTGATTGGTCGATGTTTTGGGACACAATAACCTTGATTCTAGCTAATTCTGAGTTTGATCATGAGAGAGAGAGAGAGAGAGAGAGAGAGAGAGAGGGGGGGGGGGGGGTTAACGTCCACTCGACACAAACTAGGTCATTTCGGGACTAACATATGGTTCAATTTTATTTCAATAATTCGCTCGCGCGTAGGGGTCCTCAGCAGTCGGAGGAAACCGGGGGACCCGGGGAAAACCCACGAGGTTAGACAGACGACCCTACTCTTTATCATGTACAAGCTTGGGCTGGAAACCACACCACTTGACTCAATGACAGACACACAGACAAGGGCGGCTTCATAATATGTTCACATTATGAAATGAAATGGGGTTTAACGTCCTAGTGTTCTGCTCCGACTGAGCTAATGAAGACGGTTCACATTATGAATGTGGACGTATACAAATGGATACGAATGCAACTCAAACTGCACTGTGAGTGTCATAGGCGTACGTGGCCGAACTTGTTTGGGGGGCCAGCATATTTTCCCGACAAATATATTTCTTTAAGAGTCCGCGGGCGTCGGAGGCGCTAAGCGTCCGACGGGGGGTCTGGGGGGCCTCCCTCATAAAATTTTGAAAACCAGACGGCCGTAGACGCGATTTCCAGGCATTTCGAATACTTTCTAGTAATTTGGAGTGGGTAGTAAATTATGTCAGTTGCAGCATAAAAACTGGTAAAAGTCATCTTTAAAATACAAGCTCTATTACTACGAAAACAAAGAACAAGTCGAACGATTTACTTTTGCCACATTTTTCATTTTATGAGACTTCACATTTTTTTATCAGGGAAGGCATAAACAGAGAGTTTATACTGCTTTTCAGATCACTTCTATCACTGGGCTCGTCCGGTGCATGGAGTTGGATGCCAGTATACAGGAACACAGTCAAGAACTGAGAAAGGCCATGTGTACGTGCTAGTTCTATTCAGATGGCGTACGTGTTCATCATTGACTGGACTGCTTTCTTTCCGCTTCCATATTATTAAAAATATTCAAAACCCGACAGACGGCGCGACGCTTCCCAACAAACTGAGCATTCATTCCCGACAAGACCATAGCCTTCCCCGACAAGGCCATACCCCTACCCCCACCCCATTTTCAACAACTCCTCGGCTAATGACCGATCTCACAAGATCTCACAATTCTGAGCTCTTTTCAGATTTCTATTTTTTTTTCATGAAAATATTTGGTACTATGGTGAGTGTGAATCTACTTCCACTTGATCAACCATTTTCTTAATTGCCAGTTTTTTGTTATGAATATCATCGTGGCCGCTTATAACATTGATCATGGAAGTCGACAACTCGACAACCCGACAACCCGACAACCCGGCATCACGACAACCCGACAACCCGACACCACGACATTTTTACCCGACATCACGACATTTTTACCCGACATCACGACATTTTTACCCGACATCACGACATTTTTAGTGTCGTAATGTCGGGTAAAAATGTCGTGATGTCGGGTAGAAATGTCGTGATGTCGGGTTGTCGGGTTGTCGTGTTGTCGGGTAGAAATATCGTGATGTCGGGTTGTCGGGTTGTCGCGTTATGAAAGGCGACATCACGACATTACGACATGATACCAATCAGCCACCATACATAAGCGTTCACCCAAAATGAAAAGAACCCAAACTAGAAATAAGGGAAGTAACTCAAGAAAGAGTGTTGTATAATTTTATTATAACTGATAAATTTTATTTGTATATCTAGGTATTCCTGCTCTTATACATGAGCGTATGTACAGCATAATGATAACGTAGTCATTCCATATATAGATTTATAATATATTCGTAATAGTCATTATGTTTAATACAAGATAATTAATGATACTATGCAAAATAACCTGTATTCCCTCACCCTCCCCAAAATTTTACCATCACCCACAACCACAACCCACCCCAAAATGATAGAAACATATATTATGAAATATAAAACTACCCCCCCCCCACACACACACCTCCACACTTCCAAGCACCACTGACTTTCCCCCGCATCATCTTCCCTCCATAAACTAAACTTGCCTATATTTTACCATCCCCCACAACCCCCACCCAACCCAAAATGATATAAACATATATTATGAAATATAAAACTACCCCCCCCCCCACACACACACACACCTCCACACTTCCAAGCACCACTGACTTTCCCCCGCATCATCTTCCCTCCATAAACTAAACTTGCCTATATTTTACCATACCCCACAACCCCCACCCAACCCAAAATGATATAAACATATATTATGAAATATAAAACTACCCCCCCCCCCCCCGGCACACAACTCATCCTCCCTCCATAAACTAAACTTGCCTATATTTTACCATTCCCCCACAAGCCCAAATGATATAAACATACATTATGAAATATAAAACTACCCCCCCCCCCCCAAAAAAAAACAAACCCGACCTCCACACTGCCAAGCACCCCTGACTTTCCCAAACATTATTTATAAAGACAATCTGATTTCAAATCTCCGTTTTTATATAACTTGTCAAGTTATCTTGGCCATAAACTTTTATCTTCGGGCGCCGAATCACAAACTTAAAGATAAAAAAAATGAAGATTTAGATATGTAAATGGCCGTTTTTGCTATTATAGTTCAAAATATATAATTTCATTCAAATTACTTTATTCTGACCGACGTTTTAGGTGTTGGGAGATGTAGCCTTGATTGTTAATTATCAAAGCAACTGTACTGGAAAAACGAGACTAAGTCCCCCCCCCCAACTCGCTGTCATATCTCTCCGCCCCTACACCAAATCGACTGTCTTTAACTTACCCCCACCCCCCGTCATAACCCACCCTCCAGTCTCACCCCACAACACCTCCCTAGCATACAACACCTTCCTGACTTGCCTACCTGATTCTACCTCACTGCCCCTTAACTATCATCTATACCAACTTCCTGCATGTCCCGGGGTCGTGGTGGCTCGGTGAGTAAGACGTTACCTCGCTAACCACTAGGTTCCGTGTTGGGGCCTGGTATTGGCCTAGAAAGTTGTTCGGGATTTTTCGGCCCGCCCTCGCCTATGATTCAGGATAGGGACGACGTATAGTCGCTCGGATGGACGGTACATAAAAGAAACCTTGACAGGTAGAGTTTGAAATAAAAGAAGGTTGTAGTGTCGCTGTCCGGGACACATTTTCTTATACCACACTGTATGGTGTATGCCCGTCTTCATTAACCCAGTCGGGGGAGAAAAGTAGGACGTTAAACCCAATTTCATTTTCTCCCTGAAATGTGGTGTATAGAATTTTCAATTTATAATCCGAAAATAAGACGATCAGACACAAATATATCTCTAATGTCACATAAATGGTTACTTTACCGTGGTTTCCGTGTCGATGTGTTCATAAAACGAGCGACCAGATGGACTAATATCACTAAGTTGATTTATATAATTCTGAAATAAAAATTAAAATTCAAAATTCAAATAAACGAGATTTCATCATACAAATGATTAACAATAATGGTGCTTTTCAATTATTGGATACAATTCTTTCGATTCCATATTACGGTAATAAATCTGATTTCTCCTTGAGGCATAGAATTTGTGGTGGCTAGAAACAAATATTTTCTAATAACGAAGGCGAAGGTGTGACAAAATGCGTGATTTCGCGAAGGTTGAAAGTTCACTTCTTTCCGCTCTAAATTCGCACAGACTCGATTTTTGTTTCAAACTTTCCGCATAATTGTTCGAATTGGACAAAAAGCCTAGATTCCGTGTACAAATGAAGTGAACACTATGTAATGGCAGCGCGGTTAGGAAACAGGATTCACGCCGACGGAGCTGACCTGTTCAGGCGTTCGAATGTGACAAATCACCGAGGCCCGGTATGGTTAGTGAACAGGTCTTTCAACTTGTACGAAATGGCACCTACAAGGCTGACAAAGATATTGTCATAGGCGTACGAGTCAGGAGGCAGCTGCCCCCTAACGTTCGGGCAATCTGACTATTCGGGTAGACGGGTAAATTGAAAACAAAAATTATTACTTCATCTAGTTGGCAAAAAAAGTGCCAAAAATCTAATAAAACACTAATTTTTACTTTTCTTGTAATTGAATACAACGAATTTGTATTGAATTGACTATGGATTAAAATATTTCATCTGGAGCCACTTTGTGCGACATTTTTTGGTTATCGATTATTATTTGTGAATGCAGCTGCAACAGTCTGATTGGATGGTTTGAAGTTGCTAAATTCACGGGCTAGAATAGCAGAAAAACTCATTTGCAGCGGTTAAATTTTCCAAATTTGGGGTTGCTTGGGATTTGGGATTCAGGTGGGCAAAGAGTGGGATTACGGTTGCAGCAGTTAAATTTTCAAAAATTTCCCCCGACGGTCCCATCTCCGTGCACTGTAAACGGTTGATTGGAATTCGAGTCAGTCACATCACATTGAAGTAATTGCTGTATTCACGGGCTGGAATAGCGGGAAAACGCGTTTCCGACCATCAAATGTTCCAAATTTACTTTGCAGGTTGTGTGCACGTGTGTGTGTGTGGGTGTGTGTGTGTGTGTGGGGGGGGGGGCTACACGCTACGCTCCACTCCTTCGCCTCTCGCAGACATATGGCACCGTCGTCTGTCCAAACTTTCAGTGAGTCCGTATGTATAAATAATGAATTACACCCACCATATATTTATCGTTGATCTTATACAAACGTATACAATTTGAAACAGCGTCTTCTTTATATTATATATTATTATTGGCATACTTATTCAACAAGAAAGTTACTCAAACATCTATTTCAGTTTTACACATGTGACGGCATAATGAGCATAAAATGACTATTCATTTCATTCGTGCAAACCAGTGAGGTGTTACGATAGAAATAGAAGAGAGAAGATGTCTTAACGCTAGGGTTCCCACCATCACGTTTCGCCGTCAAATTTTCTTGGTGTGCACGGTAAGCCCCACTCCTTCGCCGGCATCACCGTCTGTAACCCAAAATATTTTCAGGCATTTCAGGTTTTGCCCCCTAACACCGAGCCCGTACCCCCATCGGAACAAAATGAAATGAAATGAAATGAAATGGAGTTTAACGTCCTACTGTTCTGCTCCTAACCTGGGCTAATGAAGACGGGCATACGCAATACAGTGTGCTATGAGGGAAATTTTGCCCGGACAGCGGCACTACGGCCTACTCTTATATCGAATTCCAACTGCCAAGGGATCTTTTACGTGCACGCCAATGTGTACACGGGACCTCGGTTTTTCGTCCCATCCGAACGACTAGACAGCTTTCCTTGTCAGCCCCTCCGTCCTGCATCACTGACAAGGGAGAACCACGCCGGAAAATCTGGATGAACTTTCTCGGCCAATGCAGGGATCGAACACTCGACCTCCAGGCTAGCGAGCTAGCGTCTTACCCACTTAGCCACGTGATCCCCCGCCCATCGGAACAGTATTTACATGTAAATAGTGGTCGCTTCAAAGATTATTATTTGACCGAATAAATTAATAGGCCAATTTCTTGTCATGGTTTTTACCTTATGTGCATCTGTATCAGATCTCATACGTCCATCAGTAGTTGATTCGTTAATGTTTTCTTCGCCCAGTGCCGGGTTGTACGATGAAATGCTCTCAAAACTGTAATGATTCAATAGAAGAATACAGGATTAAGACTTATTACATCCTTATTAAAGTGTACTGTCCTGTTCCGTCATTAACAGAGTGGGCTGTTCTATTCTGTATTTAACTTTCTCTTGCGTTGTTAAATATACATTATGTAAGATTAAGATAAAGATCTAGACATTCGTGCTATAATAATTCGAAAATAGATAACTTAAAATGAATAATTTGAAAGTTTCATTCCAATTACTCTATTGAGAGCGAAGATATTAGCCTTTGAAGGTTTGACAAAAAGTGTGCAATAATTGCAACTACCGCCTTTTATTTTTAAATTACATTAAAATATGGCTGAACTGTTCTAATCTATTGCATATCGCAGATATCACATGCCATCGAGAGTTGATTATGGCCTGGATCAGTTAATTAATTTCTAATTAATAATTTAGAAAACATTTCAGGCTTAAAGAAAGACCTGCAATAGGCAGATTTAGCTCTTGCATAACGTATGTCTAACACAGTATGATGATCTACCCAACACTACTGGTTTATTGAGTAACGTCTCCCCATTAAGAAAATTTAGCGATCATTTTCGAAGGGCCTAACAATTTGACTTGAAATTTTCAAACAGGAAAAATCGCCCGTTGTTTGTTTTTGATCGATAAATCCACATTTATCTCCAGGGAAATCTAGGACTTCTCCTTAACAAAGTGTGATGTGATGTTAACAAGGTGCACTGTTCTTAACAAATGCGCTGTTCTAGTCCATGTTATATAGTGTACTGTACTAGTCCGTGTTAATATAGTGCACTGTTCTAGTTCATGTTAATATGGGGGATGCTCGATTGAACGTTCCAGAATTGAATTCTCTCAATCCCCAAAACAGTGTCAATCGAGTGAAAAGGAGAATTTCGGAGTACAACGCATGTGCCGGCTGCATAAAAAATATATCAACCAATCATGGCAGCTGAAACATATTTGCTATCTAAAATACGTCATGATTCTACTCACACCACCTCAGCTGTTGGAACTGGCAGAACTGTGACAGGACTTAATTCCGTATCACTTGATTGCGATTCTGTCAATTCGGGACGTTCCGGAGTGACAATCGAGCATCCCCATAGTGTACTGTCCTTGTCCGTGTTAATATAGTGAGCTTTTCTAATTCCTGTTACGAAAATTACTTTGACATCGTGGCATGTTTTTAGAATCAAGTTGGTAAGACATTCCAAATAAATACGTACTCATAATATTTTGTCTGTAGACGTGCTCTCCTTTTAATCACAATAACTATGATAATAGTGATGATGATAATAACACCAAATATACTACAACTTATAATAATGATATAATTTGTTGATAATAATAGTTTCTCTATTTCTTCATCACATTTCTCTCCACTGTATATCACATCAGACGTCTCATCACATCTAGAAAGGTAACATATGGGTTTATAGGCTTAGAACGAACAAACCCGGGGGAATAAAATCACTGTTCTTTAGAATTCCTACAAAGTTTAAATGGCAGGACTAATACCCCATGATTATACGCCTACACAAAATAAACCCACGCTAGGTGTCATAAGGGCAGAATAATGACGCACTCGTGTTAGACAGGCTTAATACAATTCAATTCCGTGGGGCTTATTTGCAATTTCGTCAGTGAAGATGGTTTCAGACAGAATTGCAAGTCAAAGCAATCCGAACAAGTAAAATAATAATAATTTAAGGTTTATATATCATATATTATATACAAAATTAAGTTAACGGACGCATTAGTTAAGATTAGATACAGAGCTGACAGTTCTCGCTATAATAGATAAAAATAGATAATGAAAACAGAATATGCTGAACTTGTCAGTCAAATTGCTTCACTCTGAACCGAGATATTAGCCATTCAATTTTAGTCTCGCCTCGATCGTCATTAATACCGTTGGCACGATAATAAAGTCTCGGTTATCCATTTTTACGTCTAGTCATCCATCACAAAACGTATTCAAATCCACAAAATGTAACAGGCGGCTAACGATGGTATCGTGAATTGATTATGGTCTTGATAAGTTATTTAGTGTTTAATTAATAATTTAGACAACATTTAAAGCGTAAAGAAAGACCTGCAATAGACAGATTTAGCTCTTGGATAATGCATGTTTAACTTACCTACACTTGGGTTGTCCTAAATGTAAAACACATGTACCGTATTTACCGCAGTTAAAACCATCACACGAATCTCTACAGATTAAACCATTGTTAGACGTTCTACTACACGTGCTACCAGTAGGACATGCATCTATACAAGGATCGGTAAATCTAGCTGCTTCACCTGTTGATTAAATAAAAATGTGCACGCAGTCGTACGCCTTAGGTCTGCCTTGTGTCCTCCCCACCCCAGCCCAACCATATTCTGTATTTAGAGGTGTCAGTCATAATATGTGATAGAACTGGTTAAACACATTCCAAATATAATTTTAACACATAGATCATTGCTACGATAGATGCGTAATAAAGGTTTCAACAATCGGAAGTGACGAACCTGAAAGAAAAACACGAGTTATCCGTCTGCATAACTGTCTGAATTGACGAGTGATAACAGATACATGGGCGAATTTCTGCTCACTAATAATTCCTTCAAAGACCAACAGTTGTTGTGTGAGACTGTGAGGGGATATCTGACAATTCATTAAAAGAATGGACTGTCACTAGATAAGAGAACACGAAAGTAAAATAGAAAAAGTCAGTGCATTACCATTTTTTTTATTAAGTATAGAATGAATAAAAAGAAGGGAATGTACGGACTATTTCTATTTTTCTCGTGTTCTCTTGTCTAATGACATTTAAAAACTTTATCGAATTGTTAGATATCCTCTTACAGTCTTATATTACAACTTTTGGTCTTCTTTAACATATGACATTTTCCGTCTCCGTTTGAAAATAAATCATGTAAATACTATGGCCCGTCCTTCACACTCATACAAGATTACAGAACAAAGATCAACAACGTCGTTCAAACGTCACCGGATTTCACTAGTGCTGTCAAACATCAAATTTTTAAACCAAAAGTTATTCGGGTGTAAAATAAATATGTTATTTGTACATTTATTTAATTCTTTCGTAGGGCGTAACGTCCGCTTCCATCGAGGGTGATATCACAGACAAGAAAATTTATTTTAGTGCATCCGCATAAATATTTCCTGGGGGAGGAAACCGGAGTACTTATAGTAACTCTATTAGGTTGAGAAGGTACCCATATCCCAAACATTCATACCAGGGATCGAAACCACAGCAGCAAGCCAGGGTGACCGGCCAGCTAGTTCTCGGAGTTGTTTATATATGTCCCCATTAACTTACCAGAATTTGTAAAGTTGTCTATTTGTCGTTTTGTGTAGTTCTTATCAACAGGTGCTGGTAGGGTAATAATATTATTAATCCTCTCTACAACAGTTGTGTTGATTTGTTTTGTTGTGTTTTCACTGGTTTCAAGTAAATCAAATACAGCATTATAATCACATATTATACTTCCATTTCTGTAATAAAGATAAGCTTTATAATCACATAAAGCACTTTATAATCACATATAACACTTTATAATTACATATTACTATCCTCTGTGTAATAAAAATACGGCATTATAATCACATAAAACATTTCCTTCTCTGTAATAAAAATACAACTTTATAATTACATATAATAAATATACAGCATTATAATCACATATAATACTTTCTTCTGTGTAATGAAAATACAGCTTTATACAGACCCCTACGCCCAAGCGAATTATGGAAATAAAATGGAACCATAGGTTAGTCCTGAAATGACCTAGTTTGTGTCGAGTGGACGTTAAACCCCATTTCTCTCTCTCTACAATGTCCATGTCGATCGTACATGAATTGGCGGAGCAAAAGACTTTTTTCGAAGAGCTACAAAATGTGTAGTGGTTATTTGGCACATGGTTTTATTTTTGTAGACAGCAATACTTACTTAAATCCCAGTACTTCGATTTCTTTGAATCCATCTGTTCCTTTAAACGCCTCCGTAAGCTGTAATTACATTAATAAGCCAATAAAAAGAGGATGGACATACAGCAATTTTGACAAAAAGTTTTTCCTTGTTCTGTTAGATATGTCAGTATACATATACCCGAACCATGGTATAAACAAAGTTCGAATCTTGCATCTTGGCAAACCATTCTGTTTGCGTCAGATAGATGCTAGAAAATCAATGTATAGTAAATGTTATTTTTCGGATTTCCTGTAGCGTCAGATAGATGCTAGAAAATCAATGTATAGTAAATGTTATTTTTCGGATTTCCTGTATGTCCCAATGAAGAATCTCACCAATTATGGAATATAATTACAGGGTTTTACTCACAAATAATTCTATGAAGAACCTTACCATTTTGCGGTCTAAAATTTAAAAATTAAAATTCAGTAATAAACGTTCGCAATTATCCACTAATGAATTCAAAATTTCGAAAGGGTAGGTGTGCCTTTTGCTAATTTGGAATTTCTCGAATTTAATAGGTTTTTGTGTTTCCGATGAAACAAATTTAACTTATGTGTACACAAATTTTTATTCCAGGACATACATGTATCTCATAAACCTTTCAAGATATTTTCAAGAAACTTTGTATAAACATCAACCTGCTAATTAGACATTTCTCAGACTTGATAAATTTCTCTGTTGAATGATTTTTTAGTTTATACCACAACACATCTGACTTAGTTTTTGGTACAGAATTATTATTCTAGAGAATATATCAGAAGTGTTTAAAATACCCTTATAACCTTTTTACATTCACCAACCTAGTATTTTATTATTCATCATTAATTTGTAAAAACCTTGCTTGTAATCTGCATGTACATTTATTCAGTGTTGCAGAGGGGAGAAAACATGAATAAATTTGAGGATTCTACTAAATCATTTACATGGCAACGTAAATGTCTGGAGTACAATCGTAATGGTTCTTTGCATAATTTATAGGATAAATGCCTTTTATAAGTTATTTTGGTATTTGCAATTGCACTATACCTTCATTAAATGGCCCAAACAGATATACATTACATTAAAGTCATGTATATATGGAAGCTGCATAAACAGATTTTTTATTTAAAATTGGACGCCATTTCTTTCCACTTGAACAATAGCTCTATTTGGTAAGTATTGATCTCTAATTTTTAAAACCTGGGGATAGTATAGGGCCAAAGGTAATTGACCTGTCTTGGTTTTCAGAAATAAATGGCAATATCTATTAAACAGCGCCACAATATCAGGACAAGTGACACTAATTGCGAAATCATATATATTCAATGTTGATTACCAATAACATAAATAAGTTGTTTAACCCTCTCCCTTCCAAACAAGTACAAGGTCGCGGGGTGTTCAGTCATCTTGTTTAAACTGAACCAGCGTCATCATTCAGAGAAATAGAACCTTCCTTTTTATGGATGAAGAACTTATCAACAGACACAGGTGTCGACGATATATATCATGAAAATGTTAGTATATAAAATTGAAAGTGAACACTTACACCTTCAGTATAGTTTGCTTCGTATGATTTGTATATATCAGTTGTTTTGTCGGTAAGATTGTCATTAAATGGTTCGTTGGATCTTACAGACAATTTAAATCCGTAATTATTTACATCTAAAAAGTAAAATTAAGATATTATCATTTGTTCATTGGTGTACGTTCTTTTGTCGAGATTGCAAGCTATTGTTTTTGAATGTGCATTTAGACATGGCAAGGTTTGGGGGCGTTTGGAAAAGTGGACAATGAAATATTTATGAAACATTTTCTTTTTATTTCGCTGGAACAATAATAGTTTATCCTATCATCTTGTAAGATGTGGGGAAAATATATTCTACAAAATATATTAATCTGTGGTGTTTTGCACCACAAGAGTTCCACAAGATATTGAACTTAGAAAAAAAAATCATTTTTTTTCCCAAAAATTTCTTCTCAGAGCTCCCTATATGCCTGTGTGGTACCACATTCCACAAGATTTGGGTCTGTGGTGTTTTTCACCACAAGAGTTCCACAAGATATTGGACTTATAAAAAATATCAATTTTTTCAAACATTTTTTCTCATACCTCCCTATGTGCCTGTGTGGTACCACATTCCACATTATGGCATACCTACCCACCTAAGATTATCCACTTAATCCAGAAACTGCACTTTAAAACAACATGAATAATATGCTACCCGAGTCACAACATAGATCTATTCCAGTTTGCTACAGTAGACAGTGTTTCCTACTACCATCCAAGGTAATTAATTGCATGTGTTAAAACACATGGTCATATGGCATAAGAAAATCTTTTGCAATTCCACCAAAGAACATATATATAGGTGCTGATGGATTGGGCATACCTCATGCCGTTGACATTCACACTTTACACGTCAAGTCCACGGAGCAATATAAAGAGAAATCCTCCAGTGTGATGAACTGGAGAACAAACCACGACTAACCACCTTTGGGGTGGGGGCAAAGAAAGTGGCTTAATTTGTACAGTAATCGATGAAAATCTGATGTCATTGCATTAAGTATTCCATGGATGGAACAAACAAACCAAGCGGGCGCTCGTTTCAAACCGGAGATGATTTTAATGAAACTACTAGGTTTGTCGGTTGACATCTGATTCTACACAGGGATATAACCATTTAATACATATTTTCACGAGGGTTTACTTCGAGAAGCTGTTGATCGGTTAATATGGATTAACAAAACAACGAATTATACTCATCGTTGTATATTCGTTGATGTCATGGAGGGTTATAGCCCAGAAAATGGGAAAGAAATAATATTGTAACGTTGTTTTATTTTCCAAAATATATTGGTCTTATATACATAATGCACACATCTATGGCAAGGTTTGGGGGCATTTGTGTGGAACTTTTCACCACAAGAGTTCCACAAGATACTGGGTTTCTGAAAATAAATACATTCCCCAAGACTTTCGACTTAAAATAATTTTCATAGAGTGTTTTGGGTCTGTGGTGTTTTTCACCACAAGAGTTCCACAAGATATTGGACTTCTAAAAAATATCGATTTTTTCAAAAATTTCTTCTCATACCTCCCTTTGTGCCTGTATGGTACCACATTCCACAAACGTTTCGACATAGTGTTTTGGGTCTGTGATGTTTTTCACCACAAGAGTTCCACAAGATAATGGACTTAGAAAAAATATCAATTTTTTCAAAATTTCCTTTCATACCTCCCTATGTGCCTGTGTGGTACCACATTCCACAAGATTTTCGACTTAGAATAATTTTGATAGAGTCTTTTGGGTCTGTGGTGTTTTTCACCACAAGAGTTCCACAAGATATTGGACTTAGAAAAAATATCAATTTTTTCAAAAATATCTTCTCATACCTCCCTATGTGCCTGTGTGGTACCACATTCCACAAGATTTTCTACTTAGAATATTTTTGATAGAGTGTTTTGGGTCTGTGGTGTTTTTCACCACAAGAGTTCCACAAGATATTGGACTTAGAAAAAAAATCAGTGTTTTCAAAAATATCTTCTCATACCTCCCTATGTGCCTGTGTGGTACCACATTCCACAAAATTTTCGACTTAGAATAATCAGATCATTGATATTTTTTCTAAGTCCATTATCTTGTGGAACTCTTGTGGTGAAAAACATCACAGACCCAAAACACTATGTCGAAACGTTTGTGGAATGTGGTACCATACAGGCACAAAGGGAGGTATGAGAAGAAATTTTTGAAAAAATCGATATTTTTTAGAAGTCCAATATCTTGTGGAACTCTTGTGGTGAAAAACACCACAGACCCAAAACACTCTATGAATATTATTTTAAGTCGAAAGTCTTGGGGAATGTATTTATTTTCAGAAACCCAATATCTTGTGGAACTCTTGTGGTGAAAAGTTCCACACAAATGCCCCCAAACCTTGCCATAGATGTGTGCATTATGTATATAAGACCAATATATTTTGGAAAATAAAACAACGTTACAATATTATTTCTTTCCCATTTTCTGGGCTATAACCCTCCATGACATCAACGAATATACAACGATGAGTATAATTCGTTGTTTTGTTTATCCATATTAACCGATCAACAGCTTCTCGAAGTAAACCCTCGTGAAAATATGTATTAAATGGTTATATCCCTGTGTAGAATCAGATGTCAACCGACAAACCTAGTAGTTTCATTAAAATCATTTCCGGTTTGAAACGAGCGCCCGCTTGGTTTGTTTGTTCCATCCATGGAATACTTAATGCAATGACATCAGATTTTCATCGATTACTGTACAAATTAAGCCACTTTCTTTGCCCCCACCCCAAAGGTGGTTAGTAGTGGTTTGTTCTCCAGTTCATCACACTGGAGGATTTCACTTTATATTGCTCCGTGGACTTGACGTGTAAAGTGTGAATGTTAACGGCATGAGGTATGCCCAATCCATCAGCACCTATATATAAATGTTCTTTGGTAGAATCGCCCAAGTTTTTCTTATGCCATATGACCATGTGTTTTAACACATGCAATTAATTACCTGGGATGGTAGTAGGAGGCACTGTCTACTGTAGCAAACTGGAATAGATCTATGTTGTGACTCGGGTAGCATATTATTCATGTTGTTTTAAAGTGCAGTTTCTGGATTAAGTGAATAATCTTAGGTGGGTAGGTATGCCATAATGCCTAAATGTATTTTCCACATTGTTGTTGATTTGCCACCCAAATCAAAAGCCTTGTTGAAATCCACAAAACAAGTGACCCCACCATCTATCTATAAGACTGTCTATGTATCTATGTATAGAGTGTCCTCTAATAATTTCCAGTCACATCGCCGGTGCGTCTAAAATCATGCGTTTGTGAAATGAAATGTAACGTCCTACTGTTCTGCTTCGACTTGACTTATGGAGACGGGCATACACCATGCAGTGTGCTATAAAGGACATTTTTCCCGGACAGCGGCGATAAGCTCTACTCTTATATCGAATTCCAACAGCCAAGGGATCGTTTACGTACACGTCAGTATGTAAACGGGATCTCAGTTTTTCGTCCCATCCGAACGACTACAGAGCTGTCCTTGCCACTGGGAGCGAACTCGCGAACTTCAGACTAGTGAGCGAGTGTCTTATCCACATAGCCACCGAGGCTCCACGTGCCTTTGTCATTTAACAGTCTTGTTGTTTCCATTGTTATTTATCTGACCTAGTTTCAACAGTCTACGGAGTTTGCGCTAGTGTGAAAATCGAATTAATCAAGTGAATTTAATTTGTAAACTCATTTGAGGCTTAATAGATATAAAGCTGTGTTAATATAAATACAAATGTCAAAAATGAAAAGATAAGAAAAGATTACAAAAAACCTATGTTTGGTTTACGAGTTGGATAAATTGTATTTGCTTCAGGTGTAAGAGATGACCCTGAAAGAACAACAAATAATTAGGGTTTTTGTTTTAATATTTAAAATCGCAGCCTTAATAGTAGCCGTCCCATATTTCACAAGGTATTCGTAGACTATAGGCTGCAAATTAAACATCAACATATATGTAGAAACACCGCGAAAACCTTGTTTGGAATTTGTTAATCAATGGATTTGCTTTTCGGGATTACTCAATTAAGTCACTCCATTATTCAATTGTGTATTTATAGCGTTGGTACATACATATATCTAGGCATCAAAAACTGACTGGAATGTGGGGACCTGGCGACCATCGTACAAAAAAATTGAAAGTATATATTTCTTAGAAAACTTCATTCTGGTGCACATGACTAGGATATAGATTTGCCAGAATCACACTAAATTAACACCAAATCAACAGGTTCTTTTCAATAAACTTAACAGCTCGATTAATAAAAAGCATTTATCCTTTTCTAAAAATGTGACAAGTATCTTGCACAAAAAATGTTGTGGACGGACGGAATGTTTACCTGATATTGTCGTAGAAATAGCCGGTGCAACTGTTGGTGGTGCTGCTGTAGAGGTCGTCATTGTTGTTGTAGAGGCCGTCGTCGCTGCTGTAGATGTTACTTCCGTAGACCCTTGTGCACTTGTAGAAGCCGTTGAAGTTATCGTAGGGGTGGTGTCTGCTACTGTAGATGTCACTTCCGTAGGCCCCGAGGTCGTCGTTAAGGCTGTGGAGGCTTCTGTAGATGCCACTAATGTAGACAATGTCGGTACTGCTGTAGTGGCCGAATCCGTAGAGAATGTTGTTGGCGCTGCTGTAGAGTTCGTCGTTGCTGCTGTAGATGCCACTTCCGTAGACCCCTGTGCACTTGTAGAAGCCGTTGAAGCTATCGTAGGGGTGGTGTCTGCTACTGTAGACAATGAAGATGATTCTGTAGATGCCACTGATGTAGAGTCAGTTGATGCCACTGATGTAGACAATGCTGGTTCTGAAGTAGACAATGTCGAGACTGCTGTATTGGCCGAATCCGTCGAGAATGGTGTTGACGCTGCTGTAGCGTTCGTCATTGTTGTTACAGAGGCCGTCGTTGCTGCTGTAGATGTCACTTCCGTAGGCCCCTGTGCACTTGTAGAAGCCGTTGAAGCTATCGTGGGGGTGGTGTCTGCTACTGTAGACAATGTAGATGATTCTGTAGATGCCACTGATGTAGAGACAGTTGATGCCACTGATGTAGACAATGTTGGTTCTGCTGTAGACAATGTCGAGACTGCTGTAGTGGCCGAATCCGTCGAGAATGGTGTTGACGCTGCTGTAGCGTTCGTAATTGTTGTTGCAGAGGCCGTCGTTGCTGCTGTAGATGTCACTTCTGTAGACCCCTGTGCACTTGTAGAAGCCGTTGAAGCTATCGTAGGGGTGGTGTCTGCTACTGTAGACAATGTAGATGATTCTGTAGATGCCACTGATGTAGAGACAGTTGATGCCACTGATGTAGACAATGTTGGTTCTGAAGTAGACAATGTCGAGACTGCTGTAGTGGCCGAATCCGTCGAGAATGGTGTTGACGCTGCTGTACCATTCGTCATTGTTGTTGCAGAGGCCGTCGTTGCTGCTGTAGATGTCACTTCCGTAGACCCCTGTGCACTTGTAGAAGCCGTTGAAGCTATCGTAGGGGTGGTGTCTGCTACTGTAGACAATGTAGATGATTCTGTAGATACCACTGATGTAGAGACAGTTGATGCCACTGATGTAGACAATGTTGGTTCTGCTGTAGACAATGTCGAGACTGCTGTAGTGGCCGAATCCGTCGAGAATGGTGTTGACGCTGCTGTAGCGTTCGTCATTGTTGTTGCAGAGGCCGTCGTTGCTGCTGTAGATGTCACTTCCGTAGACTCCTGTGCACTTGTAGAAGCCGTTGAAGTTATCGTAGGGGTGGTGTCTGCTACTGTAGATGTCACTTCTGTAGACCCCTGTGCACTTGTAGAAGCCGTTGAAGCTATCGTAGGGGTGGTGTCTGCTACTGTAGATGTCACTTCCGTAGGCCCCTGTGCACTTGTAGAAGCCGTTAAAGCTATCGTAAGGGTGGTGTCTGCTACTGTAGACAATGTAGATGATTCTGTAGATGCCACTGATGTAGAGACAGTTGATGCCACTGATGTAGACAATGTTGGTTCTGAAGTAGACAGTGTCGAGACTGCTGTATTGGCCGAATCTGTCGAGAATGGTGTTGACGCTGCGGTAGCGTTCGTCATTGTTGTTACAGAGGCCGTCGTTGCTGCTGTAGATGTCACTTCCGTAGACCCCTGTGCACTTGTAGAAGCCGTTGAAGCTATCGTAGGGGTGGTGTCTGCTACTGTAGACAATGTAGATGATTCTGTAGATACCACTGATGTAGAGACAGTTGATGCCACTGATGTAGACAATGTTGGTTCTGCTGTAGACAATGTCGAGACTGCTGTAGTGGCCGAATCCGTCGAGAATGGTGTTGACGCTGCTGTACCATTCGTCATTGTTGTTGCAGAGGCCGTCGCTGCTGCTGTAGATGTCACTTCCGTAGACTCCTGTGCACTTGTAGAAGCCGTTGAAGTTATCGTAGGGGTGGTGTCTGCTACTGTAGATGTCACTTCTGTAGACCCCTGTGCACTTGTAGAAGCCGTTGAAGCTATCGTAGGGGTGGTGTCTGCTACTGTAGATGTCACTTCCGTAGGCCCCTGTGCACTTGTAGAAGCCGTTGAAGCTATCGTAGGGGTGGTGTCTGCTACTGTAGACAATGTAGATGATTCTGTAGATGCCACTGATGTAGAGACAGTTGATGCCACTGATGTAGACAATGTTGGTTCTGAAGTAGACAATGTCGAGACTGCTGTATTGGCCGAATCCGTCGAGAATGGTGTTGACGCTGCTGTAGCGTTCGTCATTGTTGTTACAGAGGCCATCGTTGCTGCTGTAGATGTCACTTCCGTAGACCCCTGTGCACTTGTAGAAGCCGTTGAAGCTATCGTAGGGGTGGTGTCTGCTACTGTAGACAATGTAGATGATTCTGTAGATGCCACTGATGTAGAGACAGTTGATGCCACTGATGTAGACAATGTTGGTTCTGATGTAGACAATGTCGAGACTGCTGTAGTGGCCGAATCCGTCGAGAATGGTGTTGACGCTGCTGTAGCGTTCGTCATTGTTGTTGCAGAGGCCGTCGTTGCTGCTGTAGATGTTACTTCTGTAGACCCCTGTGCACTTGTAGAAGCCGTTGAAGTTATCGTAGGGGTGGTGTCTGCTACTGTAGATGTCACTTCCGTAGACCCCTGTGCACTTGTAGAAGCCGTTGAAGCTATCGTAGGGGTGGTGTCTGCTACTGTAGACAATGTAGATGATTCTGTAGATGCCACTGATGTAGAGACAGTTGATGCCACTGATGTAGACAATGTTGGTTCTGAAGTAGACAATGTCGAGACTGCTGTAGTGGCCGAATCCGTCGAGAATGGTGTTGACGCTGCTGTACCATTCGTCATTGTTGTTGCAGAGGCCGTCGTTGCTGCTGTAGATGTCTCTTCTGTAGACCCCTGTGCACTTGTAGAAGCCGTTGAAGCTATCGTAGGGGTGGTGTTTGCTACTGTAGACAATGTAGATGATTCTGTAGATGCCACTGATGTAGAGACAGTTGATGCCACTGATGTAGACAATGTTGGTTCTGAAGTAGACAATGTCGAGACTGCTGTAGTGGCCGAATCCGTCGAGAATGGTGTTGACGCTGCTGTACCATTCGTCATTGTTGTTGCAGAGGCCGTCGTTGCTGCTATAGATGTCACTTCCGTAGACCCCTGTGCACTTGTAGAAGCCGTTGAAGCTATCGTAGGGGTGGTGTCTGCTACTGTAGACAATGTAGATGATTCTGTAGATGCCACGGATGTAGAGACAGTTGATGCCACTGATGTAGACAATGTTGGTTCTGAAGTAGACAATGTCGAGACTGCTGTAGTGGCCGAATCCGTCGAGAATGGTGTTGACGCTGCTGTACCATTCGTCATTGTTGTTGCAGAGGCCGTCGTTGCTGCTGTAGATGTCACTTCCGTAGACCCCTGTGCACTTGTAGAAGCCGTTGAAGCTATCGTAGGGGTTGTGTCTGCTACTGTAGACAATGTAGATGATTCTGTAGATACCACTGATGTAGAGACAGTTGATGCCACTGATGTAGACAATGTTGGTTCTGCTGTAGACAATGTCGAGACTGCTGTAGTGGCCGAATCCGTCGAGAATGGTGTTGACGCTGCTGTACCATTCGTCATTGTGTCTGCTACTGTAGATGTCACTTCCGTAGGCCCCTGTGCACTTGTAGAAGCCGTTGAAGCTATCGTAGGGGTGGTGTCTGCTACTGTAGACAATGTAGATGATTCTGTAGATGCCACTGATGTAGAGACAGTTGATGCCACTGATGTAGACAATGTTGGTTCTGAAGTAGACAATGTCGAGACTGCTGTATTGGCCGAATCCGTCGAGAATGGTGTTGACGCTGCTGTAGCGTTCGTCATTGTTGTTACAGAGGCCATCGTTGCTGCTGTAGATGTCACTTCCGTAGATCCCTGTGCACTTGTAGAAGCCGTTGAAGCTATCGTAGGGGTGGTGTCTGCTACTGTAGACAATGAAGATGATTCTGTAGATGCCACTGATGTAGAGACAGTTGATGCCACTGATGTAGACAATGTTGGTTCTGCTGTAGACAATGTCGAGACTGCTGTATTGGCCGAATCCGTCGAGAATGGTGTTGACGCTGCTGTAGCGTTCGTCATTGTTGTTACAGAGGCCGTCGTTGCTGCTGTAGATGTCACTTCCGTAGACCCCTGTGCACTTGTAGAAGCCGTTGAAGTTATCGTAGGGGTGGTGTCTGCTACTGTAGATGTCACTTCCGTAGACCCCTGTGCACTTGTAGAAGCCGTTGAAGCTATCGTAGGGGTGGTGTCTGCTACTGTAGATGTCACTTCCGTAGACTCCTGTGCACTTGTAGAAGCCGTTGAAGTTATCGTAGGGGTGGTGTCTGCTACTGTAGATGTCACTTCTGTAGACCCCTGTGCACTTGTAGAAGCCGTTGAAGCTATCGTAGGGGTGGTGTCTGCTACTGTAGATGTCACTTCCGTAGGCCCCTGTGCACTTGTAGAAGCCGTTGAAGCTATCGTAGGGGTGGTGTCTGCTACTGTAGACAATGTAGATGATTCTGTAGATGCCACTGATGTAGAGACAGTTGATGCCACTGATGTAGAGACAGTTGATGCCACTGATGTAGACAATGTTGGTTCTGAAGTAGACAATGTCGAGACTGCTGTAGTGGCCGAATCCGTCGAGAATGGTGTTGACGCTGCTGTACCATTCGTCATTGTTGTTGCAGAGGCCGTCGTTGCTGCTGTAGATGTCTCTTCTGTAGACCCCTGTGCACTTGTAGAAGCCGTTGAAGCTATCGTAGGGGTTGTGTCTGCTACTGTAGACAATGTAGATGATTCTGTAGATACCACTGATGTAGAGACAGTTGATGCCACTGATGTAGACAATGTTGGTTCTGCTGTAGACAATGTCGAGACTGCTGTAGTGGCCGAATCCGTCGAGAATGGTGTTGACGCTGCTGTACCATTCGTCATTGTTGTTGCAGAGGCCGTCGCTGCTGCTGTAGATGTCACTTCCGTAGACTCCTGTGCACTTGTAGAAGCCGTTGAAGTTATCGTAGGGGTGGTGTCTGCTACTGTAGATGTCACTTCTGTAGACCCCTGTGCACTTGTAGAAGCCGTTGAAGCTATCGTAGGGGTGGTGTCTGCTACTGTAGATGTCACTTCCGTAGGCCCCTGTGCACTTGTAGAAGCCGTTGAAGCTATCGTAGGGGTGGTGTCTGCTACTGTAGACAATGTAGATGATTCTGTAGATGCCACTGATGTAGAGACAGTTGATGCCACTGATGTAGACAATGTTGGTTCTGAAGTAGACAATGTCGAGACTGCTGTATTGGCCGAATCCGTCGAGAATGGTGTTGACGCTGCTGTAGCGTTCGTCATTGTTGTTACAGAGGCCATCGTTGCTGCTGTAGATGTCACTTCCGTAGACCCCTGTGCACTTGTAGAAGCCGTTGAAGCTATCGTAGGGGTGGTGTCTGCTACTGTAGACAATGTAGATGATTCTGTAGATGCCACTGATGTAGAGACAGTTGATGCCACTGATGTAGACAATGTTGGTTCTGATGTAGACAATGTCGAGACTGCTGTAGTGGCCGAATCCGTCGAGAATGGTGTTGACGCTGCTGTAGCGTTCGTCATTGTTGTTGCAGAGGCCGTCGTTGCTGCTGTAGATGTTACTTCTGTAGACCCCTGTGCACTTGTAGAAGCCGTTGAAGTTATCGTAGGGGTGGTGTCTGCTACTGTAGATGTCACTTCCGTAGACCCCTGTGCACTTGTAGAAGCCGTTGAAGCTATCGTAGGGGTGGTGTCTGCTACTGTAGACAATGTAGATGATTCTGTAGATGCCACTGATGTAGAGACAGTTGATGCCACTGATGTAGACAATGTTGGTTCTGAAGTAGACAATGTCGAGACTGCTGTAGTGGCCGAATCCGTCGAGAATGGTGTTGACGCTGCTGTACCATTCGTCATTGTTGTTGCAGAGGCCGTCGTTGCTGCTGTAGATGTCTCTTCTGTAGACCCCTGTGCACTTGTAGAAGCCGTTGAAGCTATCGTAGGGGTGGTGTTTGCTACTGTAGACAATGTAGATGATTCTGTAGATGCCACTGATGTAGAGACAGTTGATGCCACTGATGTAGACAATGTTGGTTCTGAAGTAGACAATGTCGAGACTGCTGTAGTGGCCGAATCCGTCGAGAATGGTGTTGACGCTGCTGTACCATTCGTCATTGTTGTTGCAGAGGCCGTCGTTGCTGCTGTAGATGTCACTTCCGTAGACCCCTGTGCACTTGTAGAAGCCGTTGAAGCTATCGTAGGGGTGGTGTCTGCTACTGTAGACAATGTAGATGATTCTGTAGATGCCACGGATGTAGAGACAGTTGATGCCACTGATGTAGACAATGTTGGTTCTGAAGTAGACAATGTCGAGACTGCTGTAGTGGCCGAATCCGTCGAGAATGGTGTTGACGCTGCTGTACCATTCGTCATTGTTGTTGCAGAGGCCGTCGTTGCTGCTGTAGATGTCACTTCCGTAGACCCCTGTGCACTTGTAGAAGCCGTTGAAGCTATCGTAGGGGTTGTGTCTGCTACTGTAGACAATGTAGATGATTCTGTAGATACCACTGATGTAGAGACAGTTGATGCCACTGATGTAGACAATGTTGGTTCTGCTGTAGACAATGTCGAGACTGCTGTAGTGGCCGAATCCGTCGAGAATGGTGTTGACGCTGCTGTACCATTCGTCATTGTTGTTGCAGAGGCCGTCGTTGCTGCTGTAGATGTCACTTCCGTAGACTCCTGTGCACTTGTAGAAGCCGTTGAAGTTATCGTAGGGGTGGTGTCTGCTACTGTAGATGTCACTTCTGTAGACCCCTGTGCACTTGTAGAAGCCGTTGAAGCTATCGTAGGGGTGGTGTCTGCTACTGTAGATGTCACTTCCGTAGGCCCCTGTGCACTTGTAGAAGCCGTTGAAGCTATCGTAGGGGTGGTGTCTGCTACTGTAGACAATGTAGATGATTCTGTAGATGCCACTGATGTAGAGACAGTTGATGCCACTGATGTAGACAATGTTGGTTCTGAAGTAGACAATGTCGAGACTGCTGTATTGGCCGAATCCGTCGAGAATGGTGTTGACGCTGCTGTAGCGTTCGTCATTGTTGTTACAGAGGCCATCGTTGCTGCTGTAGATGTCACTTCCGTAGATCCCTGTGCACTTGTAGAAGCCGTTGAAGCTATCGTAGGGGTGGTGTCTGCTACTGTAGACAATGAAGATGATTCTGTAGATGCCACTGATGTAGAGACAGTTGATGCCACTGATGTAGACAATGTTGGTTCTGCTGTAGACAATGTCGAGACTGCTGTATTGGCCGAATCCGTCGAGAATGGTGTTGACGCTGCTGTAGCGTTCGTCATTGTTGTTACAGAGGCCGTCGTTGCTGCTGTAGATGTCACTTCCGTAGACCCCTGTGCACTTGTAGAAGCCGTTGAAGCTATCGTAGGGGTGGTGTCTGCTACTGTAGATGTCACTTCCGTAGACTCCTGTGCACTTGTAGAAGCCGTTGAAGTTATCGTAGGGGTGGTGTCTGCTACTGTAGATG